TTTCCACGCCGGCGACTGCTTCGTAAAACTGTTCGCGGTATTGCGCTCGGCGTTTACGCGCGGTGTTCATTATTCGATGTAAGAAAGTGATGTCGTCACTACCATCGTCGTCGTCGTCGTCGTCGCCGACGCGAACAATAGCGTTCGAGAACTGCTTTGTTGCGATCCCGGTCGCGGAATAGCGTTCCATTCGGCGGCTTCAGCGAGTGACAACTTGGAGCGTCGTAGAAGCGTGAAGATACGGGAGCTCAAAGTCGCTCCGAGCGACACGGAGTCGCGCTCTTTCCCGGGCGAACTCGGAGCTGACGCGCCGAGGAGAGACCGAAATCAGCGCGAGACGAAACGAAACGAAACGAAACGAAACGAATTAAACGAGGCATTCCGATCGGCCGCGCGCGATCCTTCCAACTCAAACTGCAACTGTAACTCGGGCTGCGTCATGCAGCTCCCTCGAATGAGACACCCGGACCCGGACGTCTTATCGGCGCGAGAATGCCGGCGTTCTCCCGGCGGAGCGTTTGGTATTTGTGCAGCCTGTAATTGCATCGCCAAGTATCGTCGAAGTATCGACGCTCGGCGGAAACTATTTTCGGCGCTGCATGCTGCCGTAATGTCACCGATAAGTACCTCGCATTACAACCCGCATTATTTCACCGCCATATTATTGGGTGAGTGCAAAAGTTCGTGCGGAGTTTCAATAGATGGAGTTATAAGCGTCGTAAAGTGTTGTCATTAATACTTCCATCTACATATTATATAACGTTGGAAAGGTGACGTCTTCAGCTGTTATTAAAAAAAAAATCATTTGTTTTCATACAAACTGCTTCGAGAAATATCACTTTAAAAATGAGTATCGATAAGGTGCATTTACGGCATGTTATGCTTTACGAGTTTCGGAAGGGAATAAACGTTGCCGCAGCCGTAAAAAACATTCAGGATGTTTATCAGGATGAAGCACCAGCTAAACGAACTGTGGAAAAATGGTTTGCTAAATTTCGGCGCGGAGAATTTAACCTTGAAGACGAGCCACGCTCTGGTCGACCTTCTGACATTGATGACGATGTTTTGCGTACTTTAGTGCTCAATAATCCGCGAATTTCAACAGAAGAAGTTGCTACAGCACTAAACGTTGACCGATCAACCGCTTTTCGGCGTTTAAAAAAGATGGGATTCGATTTGAAGCTCGATATATGGGTGCCCCATTTGCTGACCGAGAAGAACAAAATCAAGCGAATTTCCGCAGCCGTTTCTTTACTCGGGCGGCTCAATAACGAGTCGTTTTTGGATCGACTAGTGACGGGCGATGAGAAATGGGTCCTCTACAACAATGTTCAGCGCAAACGGACATGGAAACAATCAGGTGAGCATGGTGACGCAATGCCAAAGGCCAGTTTGCACCCGATGAAGGTGATGCTCTCTGTTTGGTGGGATTGCAAGGGCATAATCTATTTCGAGCTTCTCCCCGCTGGCGAAACGATTGATTCGGACAAGTACTGTCGCCAATTAACCAATCTGAATCGAGAAATAAAAGAGAAACGTCCGATTTTGTCAAATCGCAAGGGAGTCGTCTTTCATCACGACAACGCCAGACCACACGTTTCGAAAAAGACGCTGCGCAAACTGAAGAGCCTGAAATGGGATGTCTTAACGCATCCACCGTATTCTCCTGATATCGCACCATCTGACTATCACTTGTTCCGGTCATTGCAAAATTATTTAAATGGAAAAAACTTTGACTCTTTGGAGGCCTTAAAAAACGGCGTCTCTTCGTTCTTCGAATCTAAACCGCGCAGTTTTTATGATCGAGGCATCCGTATGCTGCCAGAACATTGGGAAAAGATTATAGAAAACGATGGAGAATATATCATTGATTGAATAAAGATTTTTGTTTGCCTAATCGCTGTGTGACTTTTACTCACAAACTCCGCACGAACTTTTGCACTCACCCAATACTTTTTCCTCGCTTCTCTTGTGAAAGCAAACAAAGAGCGCCGACACGCGCGAAATGCGCTGAGAAAAAGGTGTTTGACACTCGCGACTGCCGCTGCGACGCGCGGCGATAATTATAGCCGGGCGAATTATTCTTTTCTGCTAATAATAGCAGCAGCGACATAATCGCGATATAAAGGCGCGTATTGCCACCGTTATTCTTTTCGGTCGGGTCAACGATAACAAGTTTGACCGACGCCTTGGCGACTATACCATAATTTCAGCAAGACGAGATTTAATTACTTTTTCCCCGGTGCGCCGATAGAGGCACGAATCCCCGGTAGTTTGCGGTAAGGTCGCGCGCGTCGGTCCTCGGAAATTGCGTGCAGAGTCGTATCCGGCATGAGTGAGTATCGAGGCCCGATAATTTTTTCACGGCGGAACTCCTTGCACGGAAAGCCAAAGCCAAACTGCATTCAATTACCTCGCCGCGGCTCCCCGTTGGCTGAAACTTTTATCGCGACCGCGCCGCTCGTCCTGCACTTCCCAGCAACCTGGACTTCTGGTCAGGGACATTTGACTGTGACACGACAACGACGCCGGTGGCGGTGCCGTTGCGACGTTGCTTGATAAATTTGCCGGCCTGATAAATTGTGGCGAACAAAGAAGGAAAGGAAGGGCCTCGCCATCAGAGCGTTGGCTTCGGCTTAATCCTTAATCTCATCTTAAATCCGCCCGATCCCTCTAATATCCTTTGATGAGAGCGCATCTTGCTGTGCGCGATCGGAATATTATTCTCCTCCGAGAGTCCTCTCTCGGGATAAGGAATTTTAATACGCGCGTGATCGGGGATGATAAACGCGCCGGCCGCGGCCGGGCGGCGCGCTCGATCGTCGCCTCACCCGAACGAACTTGCCGATTCCACGGCACAGCGAGAGGGGGGAAGAGAGTGCGGCACTCGCGAGACGCGTCTAAAGAACATCTCGACGGCGAAGATGTCGTCGTTTGAGATGTGTCGGAGGAGACGGCGAAACTCCCGAATTAAAGTTCCAGACACGTCTCACGAAAGTTCGAACGCCGAGTCCGAGAGAGGGGGAGAGAAAGGATAGGGGGGAGGGGGGAGCGGACGAGAAGGAGATCGGTCCATAAGCAATTATTCGGTGCACACGTTGCTGAACTCGCGCGATTGAAATCTCGTCTCCTGCGGGAACGCCAGGGGGGGGGAGGGGCGCGATGCACGTATATATGCTCGCACGGGTGCGCGAATTGATATATACAGTGCGCTCGAAGATATTGCGTTAGCAATTGGACCCGTCAGTGTGGAACTATCGACCGGACCCACATGTTGCTCTCGCGGATCGGATTTCCGGGAACGGATCGCGCATGTAACCGGGCGAAGGTCGCTCGTTATTACACTACTGTGATCAAAAAATAAGGTGAATTTGTTTATAAAATGAGAAATCTTTATTTATTCTTCCGAATCAATTTCATCGTCTTCAAAGTACTCCCCGCCCGACACGATGCACTTGTGCCAACGTTTTTTCCAATTCTCGAAACTGACTGTTTCGAGAGAAGTCTTTCTCCGGGGTGGCCTTCAATACTTTCTTCGATTCGGCTTTGATCTCCTCAATCGAGTCGAACGGGTGTCCCAGGAGCGGTCTTTCGAGTTTGTTGAACAGCCAGAAGTCGCACGGTGCTAAATCAGGCGAACACGGTGGTTGTGGAACGATATGAGTCGAATTTTTGGCGAAATGTTCTCGAAGAACCAATGCAGTGTGGGACGGTGCATTGTCGTGGTGCAAAAACCAAGAATTGTCTGCCCATAATTCTGGCCTCTTGAGGCGTGAATTGCTTCACGCAAACGACGCATAACACTCAAATAATATTCCTTGTCAACAGTTTGATTTCCTTGACGTGGCTTTCATCGGTAGACCAAAGGCCTTCTGCAACATCCTCAACGTTTCCGCGACAGAATATTCATTCCGCAAACAAAATTTCATGCAAATTCTTTGCTCAACAAAATCAGACATAGTAAAAATCGAAGAACTCACTTTTGTATGTTTACAAAAACACGTATAGCTCCGCAGCAATTGAATATATTGACATGAGACTCTGCATAGATGTCAAAGACAGTGCTACCAACCCACCAAAAAATAATTTCATGATTTTATAGTACCCGCGAAGTTTGAATGAAAAATTCACCTTATTTTTTGATCACAGTAGTACATTAACAATATCGTCGCGAAATGTTGCGTTCCGACCGACCGACTCCTAATCGCCCTCGTGAATAAATCAGCCCAATCGTGAATAAATCAGCTCAAGTTGACATCGATGACAAGGTGGAGCGATTAACTCAGGCAGTGTAGTGGCATATCGGATTGTGTAATGAGTTATTTGGCGGAGGCCGCTCAATGGAACTTCCGATAGAAGAGCCGGCATTTCTTATTAAACAACTCAATACGCTCCGCGAGATCCTCATTAAAGCTGCAGAGCTTCTCGAAGAGCGTCTCTTTCGTGAAGTAATAACGGCTCACCTGGAAGTCTGTCTTATGCCGTGGGCATCGGGTCAGTTGGAAAGTTCGTTCCGATGGCCGAGTGAAATTTGACTTTAACTTTAATCAGCGACCAGCGTTTCATTTATTTCCCTTGAACAGAGACCGCCTCACTGATGCGTGCAATTTTATTTTCACGTCTTCGCAGCGGTTAATCTTCCTCGGTGACGCGTATCTTTCGTAAAGATAGTTTTGACTGCTAATCCGAGACTCGTAGAAAATAAATTCTCTTCTTCACGAAAATAAATGTTTGCGGAATAATTACTCCGTTTGCTCCTTAATAGGTAGGTCACCTACGGCCCGTTTAATTTATTTAAACTTTACAAGCCTCGAGGCGTCTTTTTACGCACAGTACTGCACCGCCCTATGATCCCTCGTCGCTGTTCTGTGCGTGCACCTTCCTCGCGGAAGATGGCTTACCGCCGAAGAAGACGTCGATAATCGAAGCAGACTCTCCGACCGCTCCAATGTTTATCGCCGAATACTCCGCGACGGGTAGATAAGATAAGCCGGGGAACGTACGAGTGTTTGCATGAACATATATTGTATTCTATGGTACAAGTACAGGTAAGTGTATAATAGAAAAAAGTAGATACAAAGTAAAGTGCGTATAAATATGGCTACTATCGTTATCGCGATGACTGATTAGTATCACTCGGAGTGCTTCACACATTTAAGCGTTTACGTGCCACTTCATATGAGCCGACGTGCATACATTAAGACACTTTCCGCTCTTACAGCCGCGATCTTCTCTCATCTTCATTTCATTTCTCTGCTTCTTCTGATCTTCTCTCTTCCCTCTCCGTACGTAACCGATACTGCAGCTTGTCGAGATTATCATCCGTTCCATCGGGATAAATGATCGAGTAATCATCCCCGTTAATAATCAGAGCAGATGGTATCAATTGCCATCATATCGCATTTACGTATGTAAAAAGCCCGTCTCGTCGCGCTGCCGGCGCGGCTATTATTTAAATGACACGCTGCTGCGGCAAAAACGATCAAACAATTTCCATCGACGAAATGACAATATCGGCTCTTGCGAAAATTCACAGAGCCCGCGGGCGTATATACACGCACCCGAGATAGATAGATAGATAGATAGGTAGATAAATAGGTAGAGAGAGAGAGAGAGAGAGAGAGAGAGAGAGAGAGAGAGGGAGATCAAGAGAGACAGACACCCGCGCTTCAAGGGCAGGCCGACAATCGATCGCGATGACTGATCCTAAGGACGAGCGACGTAGTCGTTGCCGCGGGAGCGAGAACGGTGAGAGAGTGCGTGGATCCGGGGTGTGCAATAAGGGTGACCGATGAGACGTACCGGAAAGTAGTCACGTTTAACCCCTGCAGACGCAGACACCGCCACTGCAAGAACCGCCCCGACGACGTTGCACTAAGCACTTTGCCGCGCAGGCACTGTTGTTGAAGCTGAACCACTTGCTCGTCCAAGAGAGGAGGTCGCAGGTGACCCGACGCTGTCGGATGGGCACTTCCTCTGCCATGTCCCGTGGCGTGTTGTCGGACGCCGCTTCCTCAATGGGGGCTGAAGCAAAACGCGATCTCTTTTTCATTCATCAGTCCGAAGCGAGGCGTTTGCGCGTAACGAAGTTTACTTATCAGGTGATCAGAAAGTATGCGAACTTTATTTTTTAAAAATCGCGGGTAAACTGTGACTCAAATCCGTTTGCTTTCTCAAATTGGTACACATGTCCTTCACATTTGGTGAAAAAATCATGGCGTTCCTTCAAGCCGCAGTTGAAAGTGGCAGTTGTTTGTGTCAGTGAAGATTGTTGTGCACGGCGATTTTTGTGATGTCGGAAAATATGGAGCAAAGAATTTGTTTGAAATTTTGTGTTGCCAGCGCAATTTCGTTCACAAACGCGTTGAAAATGTTGCATGAGAAAGCTTATGGCGCGATGATTGTTTATCGAAAACAAGTACGTTTGAGTGGTTTAAGAAGTTTCAAGAAGGACGAGAATCCGTTGAAGACGACCCACGCAGCACGCTCTGGAAGACCATCAACGTCACGCATGAAGCTCACATTGAGAAAGTGAAAGAATCGGTGCTCCAAAATTGTCGATTGACTGTGCGAGAGATAGCAGATGAAGTTGGAGTATCATTTGGATCGTGCCAGCACACAATCCATAAGAAACGACTGGAATTGTGGGAAAACAACTCGTGGATTTTGCATCGCGACAACTTTTGCACCTGATCGCATACCACTCGACATTTGTGCGTGAATTTCTGACAAAAAACCTCAACGAATGTCGCTGCGCAAGCACCGTATTCACCAGACATGGCCCCCTGCGACTTTTTCCTGTTCCCCCTACTGAAAAAACCACTTCGCGGACAGCGGGTTTCGAATCGATTGAGGACATGAGAGAAAAATCGCTGCGTGAATTGAAGGCCATACCGCGTCCGCCGCGATGTATGAGCGATGTTTCCAGGATTGGATCAAACGCTGGCATATGTGCGTTGCAAGCAATGGGGACTACTTTGAAGGAAACTATAAGAATGTTCATGAATGATTGAACTGTAATTTTGATTTTTAAAAATAAACTTCGGATACTTTTTCATCACAGTAGTTCGGTTCGATTTTCGAACCGAGTTTGGAACCCTTAACACGGCTCGTTGGACCTGTGCTTCTTGCACGGACAACAAGACGAGGCGCAAGAAGGTCTCTCTTGTCTAGGCTTCCGAACACGATACGAATGACGTTGTCTTGTTGCCTCCTCTCTGAGTCTCCTCAGGTGAAATATCTCGCTGGAATTAGAGGGTCGGATAGACGGAATAATCGGGGCAAGGACGCGTTGCGTTAAAATCGATTCCCCTTCGAAATTCTTCAAGTGGAGTGATTCTCACCGGGAACGAATGAAAATTCGCTCGAAGCTCGATGCTGAAGATCACTCGACGCTGTCACTTGAAATCGGCAGAGTGCGTGTGTTCCACTCAAATCGACGAGGTTTTTAAAGTCATGAACAAATGAATGTTTCAATCGCGCAATCAGAGCGGATTCATTCCGATGATCGGGGAGCACATGTCAGTCAGATTCCGGCCTCCAGTTCCAAGGGGAGATATTCACCCGACGATTCAGCGCGGAGAATTTATTCTGCGCGAGTTGGAAAGCCACTCGGACTCGGACCCGAGCGCGACTACGTAGGTTGTTTGTTGCTTTGGCTTTCACGTGGGATCTCAGCCGAGAACATTTACGAGACAAGTACGATCCTTCGCCAACGTTTCGCCAATATTCGTGGAATTCGTAGAAGATGTCTCATCGGTTTACCGTCGGAAGAAGGCACGGAAAATTTAGCCGGGAAATTTTTCGCGGGGGCGAGTCTCGCGACGTGCGCGACCGCGAGATTCTTACGTCACGCGGATATTCCGCTGGACAGCGAAGCGTTCGTACGTTGTGAGAAAGAAAGAATCACCGATCTCGCTACACATTTCAGTTATTTCTGCCGTCAGTCGTATCTCTTCCGATCGCTCCAATTCCAGCGAGAGAAATATAGCAGCGGCACAATAAACTTATCATCGGTAACACTATTTTCTCACGCAGCACCGACTTTCGTAGCGCGCGCTACGAAAGAAATGATCGGCGAGTGCAATTATTAGGTGTACAACTTAATTCTCGGCCTTTTTGCTCAACTTCAATGCTCAGTTTCAAAAGAAAGGATAATAAAGGACCTAATCCTGAAAGTAATCTCCCTCACTTTCTACACATTTCTGCCACCTTCCAGGCAACTTTCGAATTCCGCTTTGGAAAAACGACGGTGGTTTGGACTCAATGAAGTCATCGATGCTTTTTCTGACTTCTTCAGAAGTTCGGAAGTGCGAATCAGCTAGGTGATGATGTAGCGATCGGAACAGGTGATGATCTCTGATGAGGCGAGGTCTGAAGAATTCGTCGCGTGAGGAAGGATTTTCCAGTCTGAGTCGGAGATGATTTCCAGGGTCGCTTTTGCCGTGTGTGGCCGTGCGTTATCATGCAGCAGTGATACCTGCCTCGTTCCGCTACCAGTAAATGGTCTTTTTTGCTCGAGTGCGTCATTCACTTTGATTAGTTGTTGCTTGTAGCGTTCAGCATTGACCGTTTGACCGGGTTCAAGCAATTCGTAGTACGCAACAACCTTCCTTGGCTGATCCAGTCGTTGTTCGTCTTCAAGACCGGAATTTCCTTCTCGAAACCTCTGAAACCACTTCTTGCAAGTGCTGTGGAAAACAGCATTTTCGCCCAAAGCCGAACAACAAATCACTTCCTGCGCTTCAGCTGCATTTTTTTTAAGTTGGAAAGCGAAAAGGAGGCAGTGCCTCAAATGCTGCTTTTCGAACGACATTGCATTCACTACTGTCTTTGAGGTTACAAAAGGTGTCCCAAAATTCACGCAAGATTTGAATTTTGCGCCATTTGTGCGGCAAAGTATTGCCAACGAATAAAAAAGACAGCGTGACAGCTGACAGGGTTCAGGGTTTTTAAACTGACCACGCACAGCGAAGAGAGTTCGTTGAATGGATTATGGAACAACAACAAGTGCTGATTTTACGAACAAAATCATCTTCAGCGATGAGGCTCATTTTCATCTCGATGGCTTGGTTAATCGACAAAATTGTCGCATTTGGGGTTCAGAAGATCCACGAGTGATTGTTGAGAAACAAATGCATCCACAACGTGGTCACTGTTTGGTGCGGATTTTGGGCTGGAGGCATCATCGGACCATTCTTCGGAAGAAAATGCGGCTGGTCAGGCAATAACAGTTAATGGTGCTGGCTATCGCGACATGATAATCCAATTTTCTGTGCCTAAATTGCAAGATATGGATGTGGACGACATGTGGTTTCAACAAGACGATGCCACATGCCATACAGCCCGAGAAACAATTCAATTACTGCATGAGTCATTTCCTGGTCGCGTAATTTCCCGTTTTGGTGATCAGATCTGACCGCCCAGATCATGCGATTTAACGCCGTTGTACTTTTTTCTTTGGGGTTTCTTCTTTTGAAGTCTAAGATTTATACCAACAAACCCACGACACCCACGCCTTGAAGAAGGAAATTGAGCGCTGTATCAACGAAATTTAGCCACATTTATGCAAAACGGTCATGGAAAATTTCAACAAAAGAGCGCATATGTGCCAGCAAAGCCGTGGAGGCCATTTACCCGATATGCTATTCCATACATAACCCTATACTTTATGAATCAATAAAAAATTTACAATTTTTAATTATAAACCTGTGTTTTCTATCAAAATTACTTCTTGCGTGAATTTTGGGACACCCTTTATCAACAGGGCTGCCATCTGTTATACTGCATATTGCAAAGCTGTGACTTAGTACTCTCAGACCACCATAGGGCGGGAATAAATGTCAATTTGAATAGAAGCTGTCATTCATTGAATTTTGGGGCCGAGAATTAAGCTGTACGCCTAATATTTCACTCGCGGGGCAATTATAGTCGGCAAATACCGATACAATTTTTTCCTTCTCACCGCGGAGGATTCACGCGCGTCGACGGGGGGAAGCTGCGATCGACTCGACGCGTAACTCGCTGTAATAATAACGAAATAGTTCTCGACGGAGCAGAAGGACGCGTCGGACTACGACGTGAGGGGATATCGACAGCGTATTATCGGAGCATGCCAGAAGCGTGGAGTAGAATCGGAGTGACGGGGCTATTCTGTAGCGTGTACTCTGGATATTTATTACTCCATCGAGGACTTCCCCGGCGCTGTATCCCGAAGTGACGTGTCGAGATGAAGAGTATCGGGACGTATCGCACGTAGTCGCCTAACCACGGGGAATTTTCGCGAGGAACCTGACGGCGACATTCTCGCCGTCCGATCTGATAGCCGGGACTTCCCCCGGTCCGTTCTCGAGACGCCGAGGCTCTCTCGCGTGTCAACTAAGTCGTTACTCGAAACTTGCCTCGAGATTCAGACAGTCGGATTGGAATCTCAAGATGTGACTCTGGCAGTTGAATCGCGATTACAAGCACAACGTCGCGTGTATCGTATGATCCAATCGAAACATTCACCCAGATCCGACTCTACATTCCGACCAGAGTGTCTCATCGGAGAGCAGTTTCAAGCGACGACTATTTGCGCGACGGGTCGATCAGGCGAGCTTCGTGCCACCTCAAGCGGAGCTCAAGACTCTCAGTTCTCAGGTGCAAAATCGGACTCTGAATGCCGGCCCGGGCGAAAGCTCGATGACCGATCGTCGCGGACGTGTAAGAAGCGGACGCATCGCGCGGTGAATTCCGAATCGACAAAATATGCTTACTCAGCTCATAAATCGGTCCATCGTAGACGGCAGGCAACGCGCTCGCCGAGGCGTACGCCAACACGCAGAAGAGGGCGAAGATAGCGAGCAGCTTCATGACTCGTCACAGAGACACGGTTCCACGACTGGACTACTTCTTGGCGAATTGAATCCGAATCAGACAATGATGCTTCCAAGTGTCTCGACGCTCGTCTTATATAGGGAGCATCCTGCTCTGCCTTCGCGGCGTTCCACTTCCGTCTCGGCTATCCTGCGGACGGTGCCTCGCCACCGGAATTCCTCCCGTGGCTTCGCCTCGCTATTTTCAGCCGGCCGGCCGATAGCCCGACGAGCTCTCTGACCTACGTGCTCGAATATTAATTTCCGGTTTTATCGCCGTTACCGGGACGACGGGGCGACGGGGCGGGCAGAGGCGATAAACCGTTTCGATCGATCGCTTTCCCATTCGTCGATCGAAAGCGCGGGCGTGGTTGCGAATTACCGAACAACGGAATCATCGGGTCCTGTCGGTGCGATTAAATTCCTTATCTTCGAGGATTCCCCGTGTGTCGTCGTGAATATTTTATACCGAGTGCCCGGTTCGCACGCAGTGATTCGGCGAACAATCGATGGTGGAATAACGTGTGTTTCAGAAGCGAGAGAGAGAGTGAGAGAGAGAGAGAGAGAGAGAGAGAAACGTCATTTATTGAGCGCTCCGGGACGAGGTCTCCTCAAGCGCATAATACTAGACTTACAAAAATAAAAGAAACAAAACAAACAAAGTGTGTATGTACTACTGTGATAAAAAAATAAGGTGAATTTGTTTATAAAATGAGAAATCTTTATTTATTCTTCCAGATCAATTTCATCGCCTTCAAAGTACTCCCCGTCCGACACAATGCACTTGTGCCAACGTTTTTTCCAATCTTCGAAACAGTCAGAGAAGTCTTTTTCCGGGATGGCCTTCAATAGTTTCTTCGATTCGGCTTTGATCTCCTCAATCGAGTCGAAACGGTGTCCCCGGAGCGGTCTTTTGAGTTTGTTGAACAGCCAGAAGTCGCACGGTGCTAAATCAGGCGAACACGGTGGTTGTGGAACGATATGAGTCGAATTTTTGGTGAAATGTTCTCGAAGAACCGAATGCAGTGTGGGACGGTTTTTGGAACCAATCGAGATTTGACGCGTTTGAGGCACAAAACATCTTTTAAAATGGTTTGGGTTAATCCAAATGAAATGGCCGTAGCATCAGCAAGATCTCTAATTGTCAATCGACGATTTTCGAACAGAAAATCTTTGATTTCCTTGACGTGGCTTTCATCGGTAGATGTTGATGGTCGTCCGGGGTGTTGTTCGTCTTGAACTCGTTCTCGGCCTTCTTTGAAGTCTTTGTACCACTTGTAAACATTTTTTTGCGACACAGCCTTATCACCAAAGGCCTTCTGCAACATCCTCAACGTTTCCGCGACAGAATATTCATTCCGCAAACAAAATTTCATGCAAATTCTTTGCTCAACAAAATCAGACATAGTAAAAATCGAAGAACTCACTTTTGTATGTTTACAAAAACACGTATAGCTCCGCAGCAATTGAATATATTGACATGAGACTCTGCATAGATGTCAAAGACAGTGCTACCAACCCACCAAAAAATAATTTCATGATTTTATAGTACCCGCGAAGTTTGAATGAAAAATTCACCTTATTTTTTGATCACAGTAGTATAATATGCAAAGCTAAGTGTAGTTCGGTAATAGGCGGTCAGAGGGATGTCGGAACAGGTTTGCGTAACAAGGTAGGTTCATATTTGACTCCTCAAAGAGGAAATCATATAAGGCGTTTTTGAACGTCAGCGTGGAATCTGTGGATTTCTGACGGCCATCGGTAAAGCATTCCAGAGCGATGCGGTAACAGCTCTGAAAGATCGCTTAAAAATTTTTGTCCTGCCCTGTGAAGTTTGCAATAAGTCTGCCGCTGCTCTTGTTCGTCTGCCCGAAACATTTGCTCGAGGGATAATATCCTGAAACAATAGCTGAGGCTATTATGTTTTTTATGTATTAATGTATGGATGAAGCATTCCACGAAGTATAAGCGGCGCAGATCAACTTTAAGCCAGCGGAGCTTAATATAGTAAAGAGTTATATGTGTGTCTCTCCGAATAGTGTGAATGTGAACCTGATACGTTACCTGAAGCGTTTAATGCTTTATGGAGTTGGTCCGATTGCTCAGCTGATATATCAGTAAGTGCAACGCACAACAATAATCGATGTGTGGAAGGACGAGGGATGTCACCAGCCGTTGCTTGAGCACATCAGGCAACAAGTCCTTACACAGTTTTAGTTGGTACAAAGTTGTGCGTATCTTTTTAGTGACGTTGTTGACATGGTGACGTCATGATAGGGTGCTGGACAAGGTCACACCGAGATATTTAACATGACCTATAATTTCAGCAGGCGTTCCGTCGACTAGGATATCTGGTAAGGTCATAAGAGAAATGCTAGAAATAAATAGAGAGAGAGAGAGAGAGAGAGAGAGAGAGAGAGAGAGGGAGAGAGAGGGAGAGAGAGAGAGAGAGAGAGAGAGAGAGAGAGAGAGACAGAGTTAGAAAGTTGGGGGGAAAAGAGAAAAAGCAAAAAAAAAGTACGCGAGCGATCGCGACTTTTATTATCGTGCACTTTAATAACTTTAATCGGGCTAACTTTTGTTCGGGCTAACGTTTGCGTATCGACGCAATTACTGATATCACTTCTTATATCCTTGACAGTAGGGTAAAACTTTGTAAATTTGTGACTGTGTCGAGAGAGTGTTTCTTGCTCCGCGGAGAATGTGTTTCGTCTTATATAATATAAATATACTGGCGGAGGTTTGACCCTCCCATTATTTGACCCTCCGGTGTACCTTTACGGTCCACTGGGAGCCGACTTTAATTTTTCAGTTTCCTCTTCAAGCAGTTCCAGCTGCTTTATAAGATCGCAAAGACTGATATTTCATGACTTGGAAGTCTTCCAAAAGGAGAGAGGGAACAAAGGGCGCATTTACTTATCTTCTTCTTTGGATCGAACAACTTTTGGATTCAATGAATGACATTTGCCAGGAGTTGATTTGTCAAGATGAAAGCCGCAAGACGAGTTCTCGTCAATACGTAAAGTTGTCGGGTTACCCGACAACTCGATATCGAGTCGAGGCGCGTGATTCGAGCCGTCGCACGGATTCAATCGGGCCACGCGCCGCGATCCATGAGGATAAACGTTACATTGCAATTAAATAAAAGTCGACGATTGAGATCTAAAGCAATTTTATTCTTGCCTTTGGCGATATTTTATCGATATTCTCGGTCCGACGGAAGCGAGGTCGGAAATGACATTTGGTAATCGTAAATACGATCGACAGAGCACTAGAGCATCGCGATGAGGAGACAGTCGTTTTGCTCGAGTCTGAGCAGCGGGAGTGGTGCCGGCGAGCCGCTGATCGTCGTCGAAGAGAGCACGTCGGGCGAGGAAGAAGCGGAGCGTCATCGCACGGAATCGCCACCGCGATGCGTAGACCCGGATTCGCCATCTTTGAATCCTTATCTACTCTCGCCGTGGAGGGACGCCAGGAAGCATTCCTTACCAACTCCGCAGTGCACATCCGGGATAACCGCATCCCAGGTACGTGCACGTGCTCGTGGAGGAAGTCGCTCGTGGTCAGCGTGGAGTCACCGACGACGACGAGACGGCATCACGATGTTGCTGGAAAAGAGAGATAGAGAAAAATAAACAGACCGCACGTGGCGAGTCTGAATTAAGAATCGTTATTCGTAGCTGCTGAGAAGCAGTCATCAAAATAGTCATTGAGAAAAGCGGGAGGAATTACGCTTGAAGACTGTGCGAGATTTCAGCCTGAAAGACCCCGAGAGGATCTTTGATAATTTCAATGATAATAATAACAATATTTCAGTAACAATATGAAGGATAATACGTTAATAGAAATACCGTTATGTACTTTAAAACGTCGCGTAAAGAGACGTATCCCGCGGCGAAGTTTCAAGTTTAAGTAATTACAGCAAGAATGTAAATCGAGTTCTCGAAGATGACGATTGGAACGTCGACGTGAGAATTTCTCACCAAGTTTGATCTCGAATTTCCCTCGCAGACCACAGATGACTGCAACTCACGATGGCACAATTTAAAAGTCGAGTCGACTTTTTTAAATTGTTGTTCGTTGACTTTTTTAGTTAGTCACTTATAGCCGATGGTTCCCTTTAAGTGATTCACTCGACGACGTGATGCGTCCACAGGTGCGACGATTGAGCGAACGCGGTGGAGAAGGTTCCGGCCCGTCGGCGAGGGAGGCCGCTTTCCTGGCGACGCTTTCGCAGGCGCCGGCTCCTCAGGCTGGCGGCCGACGACACTCCGTCGTCACCATCTCCAGGGTGCCAACTACCCTCTTCGGACGCAACCGTCGAGAATCCATCGCCGCGTTTCCCATGGGAGGCGCCACCAGGATATTGCAGAGCCGACGAGACTCGTCGACCGGGCTGAGCGGTCCGCCCAGTAATAGCGGAAGCACTCATAATCTGCAGCTCGATATTATGGACGACATCGCTGAGATCAAGGCTAGAAAGGTAGGTTTTCGTCGAGCTGTACAAAGGCTAAAAGCGACCGCTTCGACGGTTAGATTCGACGGTGCGATTGGCGGGCGAAATTAAAAAAGTCTGACTTTCTGTTCGAAATTCCTTTGATTAGTCTGCTCTGCTCTGAATCGCCGAATGAGTACTTTCGTTCGAAATTCAGCAGCGAATCCGACGCGTGTTTCATCGCAACGGAAAAAAATTCACGCTTTAACCCTTTAACACTCGACTTTTTTATAAGTGTTTTAAGAATAAAATTTGAGTTTTCTTGAACTGAGATACTATAAGTACTCGAGCAGAACATTGTCCCATGGCCGTATTAAAACCCCATCCAGCTTCCAAATTTCAAATTGGGCCCGGATAACTTTATCGGATCCGGCACGGATAATAAGGAGTGAGACGCACTGCTGCATAATGCCCTGATAAAATTGCCTGAAATCGAGAAACCTGATCAAATGTCCATCAAGACCAAATCAGGCATCCAAATAATGACGTCATCGCTGCAGTCAGGGTATAATCCGTATCACAAGTAGTGATAACCAAAAAAGATATCAGAATTTTATATCTACGAAAAACTACCTTTCCAAGCAGAAACTACTCCCGGTAGCGAAAAATACGCCTGATCGGTTAAATTTTTCTTTCTAGTTTTAATAATTTTATATCATACCTAATGGTTGGAGAAATTCCTCGAAACATAAAATTCATATTCAGAACTTGCTCTTTATTTACCCGGAATGGAATATAACAAATGAGTACATGAAGTTTCCGCTTTTCGTTTGTTGGTTTCGTTAGTTTGGTTTTTTTGTTTATTGGTAAATACGACTTGGATCCTAAAAGCATATATAAAATGAGCAACCTATACAGAGAAAAATGAAGGGTAATATACACGACATAACTCTGATAGCTTGACATTTTTGAGCTAAAACTTTACTATATTTGTGAGTGAAGTTTATCATTCAGAGCGTCAAGCTTACTATTTCAGAAGAACATCTTATAGATCACCATTTAGATTTAGTCAATCGTCCCTTCATTTTTCGCCGCATAAAAAACTGTAGGTCGTCAGGTTTCATGAAAATAGGTTGGTCTCTTGATTTTTGTGTCCACCATATTGGATTCGCCATTTTGAATTTTTCTGTATTCTTTTAATTTGACATTTTGCATCTGAGAAAGCTTCCAAATGTATAAAATTATAACAGACACCAATCTATTCATTTATAGCGCACTTCTAGATGTCAGTAACAATGCTAACTATGCCTACTTGGAATTTTGGCAAAACATGTTATCATTAAAACTCAGCTAAAAACAGACTAAACCGAATCTACACACAATCTATATACCATTTTTTAGAAGAAGAATTCACGCAGAAGAAGAAGAATTTGGCGCAAACAGTGGCGCAAAGAAAACGAAAATATCTCCTTTTTTGACCAAGTTGTGGATCTCTTTGATGCGTTTCTGCTAACTATAGTTACCAGTAGGTGGTTAAAAGGTTAATCCATTTAATATTCTCCACATCGTACGTGAGAAACGTTCGTTCGTACAAAGAGTCGTCTCGAAGAAAAGTTCCAGTTGGACACTCGCTCTCATGCTTCCAAGTGGCGGGGTACATCTCCATTATAAACTTGGAGTCAGTTGCACTTGTCCCGAGTGGGATTTCACTCCGAGAAATCTCAACGTGTCGCGAGTGGCCGTTTCATTAACTGCTCAGCACCCCGAGATGAGCTCATTAGGACTATCCTGAATATAAACTCGGGCCATGAATGCTGTTGTTAGAATCCATTTTTAAACACCTCGTCCTCCGACGCACTCGGCCTAATGCTTTCGCGCGGCGCGTCCGTTTCCAGGTGCGTTTAAAGATGTACAAGACCCCGTCCCGAGAGCGCGTGTGCGAGATCCAGCTTCTCGAGGGTAACGGCAACTCCACGCAAAAGTACACGCAGCAGCAGAAGCGCCGCTTCTCCGAGTTCTCGGCGTCGATCGCGTCCACGTCGACCTTGCGTAGACGCGCGTCCGAGATGACGAGGCCGCTGAGCGAGGTCGAGGCGCCGAGCACCTCGGCGGCGGGTATCATATGTTCCAACACCGACCTAATATCCATCCTGAGCTCCTTGACGTCGTCCGCGACGGAGATCAACACGTGCGGCACCTCGAGCTCGAAGGACGAGCAGAAGTCGAGTTGGCCCAGCAAGACGGCGGAGCAGAAGCGCAGTCGGCTCAAGAGCAGTCGGTCCAACAGCTTCGACGTGTCCATCTTGCGCAGCGCCAAGAGCAAAGGGTTCAATAACGGCGGCAAGAACGCCGGCCCCGCCTCGCTCATGGCGCCGAGCACTTGGTTCGCCAAGCGGCACCAGCCGATCTCGAAGAAGAACCGCTACCTGGACAACGAAAACTCGCGATCCTTCAAACTCGACAAGTCGAAGGTGGTCAAAGTTGTCAAAGACACGCTGGGCAAGGCCTCGCCCACCAAGGACTCGGACACCAGGCACAAGGTCGTCTGGGACGACAGCAGTGGTACCAAGGTGGACGCTCAGGTAAACGAGACTCGCAATGCAGATTTACATTGAGAGAAAAAGTGATTGATTTCAGCAATATAGTTATTTTAACTATAGCACACTTTTAGCACCAATCAGATGTGTTTCGTCGTTTTAACGAGGAAGCAATCAGAGCAACATGCAACACATCGGTTATTGTCATTAACGCGGCCACGGGGAAATTGGCTTTCCCGGCCACAATTGCTTCACCGTGTAATTATAGTCGCGAATATCAGATATTTCTCTCGGTGCAATTAATGCATGTTCGACGTTTTCTCCGACGATAATTTTGCCACAGATAAATAAAACACTGTTATTCGTATAACATATATGAGGACGTTTCTCGTTTCTCTCGTACGCAATTCGCGACTTTAATATATTGACTGTAGACTCTATTCCCGCGAGAAGAAGTCTCTGCGCAGGTTAACAGTTCCAATCGCAAGCGATGAGTTCTTCGCTCGCCGTATCTTTGACTCGATCTTGGATTCCAAGGAAAAAGGCTAAAGTCGTCGCGCGATGACGCGAGAATAAAACGTAATTTTCCACTCAACGTCGACAGGTGCTTGGCAGTGCCATCGAGAAGATTCTCACAGCCCACAAGGGAGCTGACGCGGAAGCGCCAGCAGCCAGCTCATCCGGAAAGCCATCCATGTCACCGAACAAGCCACGCTCCGGTAAGGTGGCTAGCTGGTTCTCGAGCGGTAACAAGGAGCAGGAGCAGCCGCCGGACTGCGAGCCTTCGATCTGCTCCTCTCTCAAGGATCTCTTCGTCAAGTAGTGCATCACCGTTCCGTTCCCGATGATCTCGCGACTCTGTTCGTTCCTTCCTGCGAGATACGCAACGTTCGACGATGTACAATCTATCGACGATCCTCCGCGACTCGATCCCTTTTCCTTTCTCCATGTCGCGTCATTATTTCGGTTGTATGTTGCTGTGTGAGGCATGTAAACTCGATATTCACGTCCTCTCGACTTTGAAGGCCTCAAAGTCGACATCTCGCGTCTCCGCGGGAACGTATACAGAGAGAAAAATATTAAACTGATACGAAAAATACGTCTTATAATGTTTTCTCTCCGAGAGGAAAAATCCTTCTTTGGAGTACACGTGCGTGAACTCTTTGGAAATTGTGTCTTTATATTTTAACCCTTTCACTGTTAATGGGAAGTATACTTCCCATCTTTTCTTGATTCAATGTTGCGTTGTAAATCACATAATTTTGAAGAATATGTTTTATACCCAGTTTCTCATCTGTCATTATTTATTTAACGAATCAAAGTTGAAAAAAATGCTTTTTTTGTTAGGGAAAAGTCGATTCCTCGAAGAGTATTGAATGCAGAGGTCTGAAATTTTCACCAAATATTTTTCTGATGTTGTACAAAAACATATATTTTTTTCAGTATTTTTTTGCAGGTTAGATTTCTTTTTATAAACAAATATTTCTACAAAAATGGCCGAAATTTGATTCTTTTGCACTTTTTAGCTCTATTTTCCTAGTTTTTTTCATTCTGTATCTCCATCTTATCCATACTATCAATATTATTTTGCTCAAAAGATTCGTAATCAGTGATTCGAAAAACTCATATATCATTAATAATAATCGAAATTTTTATCAATTTCGTACATTATGGTCGCCATATTGAATCCGCCATTTTTAATTTTGCAAATCTGACTTCAGATTCGCAATTAGCGACCCGAAAAACCCATATACACCATCAATAACAATTGGAATTTTCATTAATTTTGTACATCATGATTGCCATTTTGAATTTTGCAAATCTGACTTTAGATTCGTAATCAGCGACCCAATAAACGTAGGACTACTAAATATTTTAATAATTTTCTCAAGGAAAGTTCATTCAGCAGTGAAAGGGTTAAGACTGTTTCGTCGAAGAAATATTCTCCATCGAGCTCATATTTAATAAATAACAATAACACCGCAACCAACACTCAACAGAAGAAAAGTAAATCGAACAAAGCTTCTTCTTTCCAAAGCGGGACAATATTTTTCTCTGTGTTGTTCTGCACATGTTCAGGGTAACTTTCTCGCCAAACTCTCATTGATTCAATCAACGATTACAAACCAGTCAAGTACTACGTTCTCTCTCTCTCTCTCTCTCTCTCTCTCTCTCTCTCTCTCTCTCTCTCTCTCTCTCTCCCTCCCTCCCTCCCTCCCTCCCTCCCCCTCTCTCCCCCCTCTCTCTCTTTCCCCCCCCCTCTCTCCTCCCTCTCCTTCTCTCTCTCTCCCTCTCTCTCTCTCTCTCTCTCTCTCTCTCTCTCTCTACTAAAATAGATGTAGAAATTTTAAATTTCTCGATTGTGGTTAGACACACAAACAGTACGACTGGAAATGAGAGTTGATGATTCTGCCAGTTACTCTTCGATTCAATCGAAGTTTGGCAAACGTCACCCTTATCCTCTCTCTGTAACTTTTAACGACAGTATCGCTGTCGTTAAGTATCGCAAAGTGTGTAATAGCCGTTTGCGCAGCTTTTATGCTGTCGTATATTATATCCGCGGGGCAATGCTTAAGGACAATTTTAATGTTGTTGGAATGTTACAGATTACCGTATATAAGTATAAGAGCGTAATTATCGTGTTCCGTGAGCGTTTGCCAATCATTTCTCGTCAACTATCGGCTCGGCACTTGTTCGCACGGTTATCTTATCATGTGATTACATCTGTGCAACGACGCGCATCGAACCGACGGTTGGTAAATATATACGGGACACAAACACACCCACAGGACTCTCTCCTCGGGCGGGAAAAAGTTACGCGACAAGGAGAGGCAAGGTGAATCAATGTTGGATAACAGCGAATAACGTTGGCGCGCGGAAGGTCCTAGCGAAAACTGTTGCGGTGTAAAAGATATTCTGTGCTGTGTAAGTACATTTCTCGTGTTAACAATGATGACGTATCAATAGCCGTGAACTATCCGTTAATCTATCCTTTGCGGGCCAAAGGAGCACGTTAGAGATATGATAGTACATACACATTATATATATATATATATATATATATATATTAATATCCGTATGATATATTCTTGAAGGAGCGTAGTGGCGGCTGGTCCGGTAGATCACTGGCGTTTTATCTGTCGTCCTTCCTTCTGTCGCACCGACTTTTTCTATTCCTTTCGTTCTCCCGCTCCTCACCGCAAACCACCTGATATTGTAAACCGATGTATGGAAAAAAGGAAAGAAAAGGATAAAAAAAGAGCGGTCATACACCTCGTAGTACAATAACGACCCAGACGTCATTCTCAAAGTCGTCCCAAGGACGTCTGCAAGAACTCGGAAATCTTTTGAAAACGTCTTTCCGAAGTCTGCGCTGCCCGGCAACACTTGGCGCCATACGTCGCTGCGTTGAAGTGCGGATCGAGAGAGATTATCAATTTAGTCGGCGTCCTCCTCTCCTCCCGTCTCCACGTTTCTCTCTTATCGTCATTGCGTTCAAGGAGAATTACCTGAAGGCGTGAGATTCGCTTATGTGTACCTTAGACTTAGCGCATAGGCTCTTTGTATGTTATCTAGATTACCGAAGTGTCCTGATGTAATGCGGAGTTGTACATAAGCAAAAGATACCGATATATAGGCACCGTATGTTCTCTATCAATGTTCTCTGCCGAGACCACCGGCAAGACACGGATGTGGAGGGGTGAAATATACGTTGATCGTAAATGTTGCAAGACTTTGTCTCATACATCGATGTCCCGGCCTTGACACACGATATTTTAAAGCGTCCCGAAAGGGCAGAGCGGGAAAGGTCCGCATCGACGTTACGCTCGTGCTCGTTTTGTAGGAAGAAACGCTGATCTCGAACGCTTAAATGTCTCTCGCGCGCAGACCGATTCGCTCTTATCACCTCAGTTTTTGTACACCGAGAGTTTCAGTGAAGCCTTGACATGCACCGAACCGAACTTCCCGGTCCTCCTGGTCATTCCTATCGCGTTTGGACGATATTCCGGACACAGCACAGTTCCCAACTGCGCCTTAGAGATGCACCTGAGAGGTCTTACTTCTTCAGACGTCTTTCGGCAACTTACGTTCTATCAAACGCACGTGTCGTCGTTCCTGGAATTTTACAGAACCCGCGGACGTAAAAAATGAATGATGTAAAAAATGAAATACAAGCCTGCGAATCTTTCTGAAAACAATTTTATTTTTAAGAAATCGGAACTATTCAGACTGTTGCAACTACATTTTCTTCCCAAATCCTTGGTGTTGTATTAAGGTAAGATGTTATTATTAATATTATCAGGCACTGCCTGCATTACAATAAGCAAACATGTATTTTGTTGTTATTTTATAATCGGTAAGAGGAATGATGGACAGAGGAATACACTTATACGAAGGAACGTAAAACGAGGATTGTAATCGTAACACCTGACATTGTGTAAGAATGATACACACGCATATGCATTGTACAAATATTATATACGCATCGTACGCAAAGTAGAAAGATACGATGTCAAGGGCAAATGCATCATTTAACACCGGAATTAACGCTGGAATCGGTATGTCAAGCTCCCAATTTTCTTCAATTCAACTGTTCTTGAACTTACGAAGCAATCTACCGCGCTTTATTCGGATTCTTCGTATTCCGAGCACCGATGATAAACTGTCCCACGAAATAGTACGTAAGAATTCGAGATTGTTGCATTTGGTTCTTTCGCCACACTGTTCAACGGTTCAAGCGAGTGTGTTTCGTGGAAGAATATGGATTTTTGCAACACAGATCTCGTGTAAAACCACACAAAAGTCGCGAAACGAAACAGCAGAAGAAACCCGTAAATCTTTCCTCAGAGACAGATTTCGCTAGAAAGAATTCTGTCGCTCGATGAAAACACAGAAGGATAAGCTCACTCGTAAAGAAAACGAGAGGAGAGGTAAGGAAGCCAAGACGAAGAGAGGTGAAGTGAGGCAGGCACAATGCAGGCAATTGTCTTTCTGTTTCTATGTTGAACAAGCTTCAAATTTCTATGTTCGATCGGACAAAAGTAAATCATCAGATTAGGGAGACAGAGAGAGGACGTGTGTGTTTGATGAGAATGGAAATAGGGGCAATAAAGACAGTAAATATGTATGCAACAGCTAAATAAAAATGCAGTCATCACAATATCTAGTCCATCTACATCTCTCCACAGTCCGCTATTACGATCTTTTTTGAGGTCTTGCCACTCTGAGATCCCATGGCCTCCAACTGAAAAACGATATCATTGTGTTCATGGACCAAGATAGAACGCTCAGAATGATGCATGCGTGTGTTGTTCGCCAAAAAGTGTGGCAAACAGCAACGATCTACCCTATCCCTCAGAGATACTTTTGAGAGATCCATCCTGGAGCAGGATATACACACCTTTCTAACAACATCCATTCCTTCGACGACCTTTCCAAACACAACATGTTTTCCATCGAGCCAACTGGTTTTGGCACTGGTAATGAAGAATTGGCTGCCGTTAGTGTTGGGACCAGCATTCGCCATGGAGAGAATACCAGGTTCGGTATGGGTCAGCTTGAAGTTCTCGTCTTCGAATCTCGTGCCGTAGATGGATTTGCCGCCGGTGCCGTTATGGTTGGTGAAGTCACCACCCTGGCACATGAAATTCGGTATGACCCTGTGGAAACTGCTTCCCCTGTAACCGAAGCCCTTCTCTCCGGTGCAGAGAGAGCGGAAATTCTCCGCCGTCTTGGGGACTACATCCTTTCTCAGCTGGAAAATCACATTACGACGGGCGATTGTAGTTCGCAGTCGCTCTAATTTGTGTCGCTCGCATACTCAATTATCGATTGCACCACGTGGCCATTAGGCATCGGTGCCATACTCGACAATACAAGAGAATGCTCGCGCGCTAAGATTCGCTTGGCGAAAAAGGCAAAAGAAAAAAAAGAGACAACCAGAGCGCAGAAATTGCGACGAAATCGGATATCGACGGTGTTTCATCTCGCGCCATCTGCCTACAAAACTTTGAACTTGGACGTTGAATGAAATTCTAATACCATTCTACTTGTTAGCAGAAATTGCTGACAAGCACCGCTAATTTCCGAGATTGCTCGCGGGTATTTATAGAATATGTCGCAATACGCGACTCATCGGCGGCCGACACGTCGCGCGGATTTCCACACGACGAGGCTCTCGATGCACCGTGAGCGAAAACTCGCTTTGTCGCGACTCGTTCGGAACGTCTTTCCGCGCCCTTATAACCAAAGAAAAGAAAAAAAAAAGAAAAAGTACAAGACATGACGTAATCTTATCTCATCGATCGCAACGTCGGGAGAGATACTCGAGGAGCGCAAATAAACGACCGCGTGCGCGAAATGAGTTTTCTCCGCATTTACGTTCCACCCGGGGATAATCGCATTGTCTTTCGCGTTCTTCGTTTTAATTTCCGCTCGAATCGCTTCCCTTTGTCCCTCCCGGCTCGGCAACGGAAACGAGGCTCGCGAGAGATCACGTGCGCGCTGGAACGGTTCTCGCTCGTAATTGCACGTCGACTCATCTGGTCGGTCAGTGGAAAATTTCGCAATGATGGTCAGGGAGAGAGAATCGTGTACGGGAGAGCCCGCGCGACCATGATGCACCGCGAGCGAGCGAGCGAACGGACGGACGGACGAACGGCCGGCCGCTCGCCATGATTTGGCTGATTTCGCGCGGTCGGTCGCGTGTGCCATTCGTCGTTTATTTTGTCGACTGGACCGGTGCGTTAAACAATCGGGCGGACAACGCGATCGGGACGCGCGTCTCGCCGGGCGAAAGGGCGATTCGTAGGAGCTGCGAAACGACCGGCTCGAAAGAACGAGCCAAGATGGCCATGCATGCCGGAATCGCGGAGGTGTCGTGGTCGGGTCCAAGTGTCGTCGCTTTCGCGTGTCGCCGCGCACTCGCACACGTCGTATTTCGACTCACCTCCATCACGATGCGACCCACGGGCTTGTCGTCCGCGGTCATGTCGAAGAAAACGCGTGGCAGACCCATGCTTTCAGCTGCTACGGCGAAACTTCGTACGAGCGTGTCGAAGGACGGTCGTCTCGGGCGGGCGGTGGCTCCGAAATGGCTCGCCTGCCTGAAGGTCGAATCAATTGACAGCCGGCAAATCGATCTCAACGCCATTCTCGCAACTGGGAACCCGCCGGAAATCGATCCCGCGTCACGCGATCTGCCTCGTAGCCGAGCAACGCTGCTTCGGAAGCTTTTGCGGGCTTTTCGCCGGTTATTACGCGAAAATATTATGTAATAAAAGGGACGCTGCCGGCTGTGAAACGGCTTTTATCCAGAGAGAAAGCGAACGACTGCGTCGACCGATCGAGAGTTTCGCTTCTCAGACGGTTATGTGATTAGAGGCGAAGAACTATCGATGCCACGCTACTATCGACCGCTGTCGATAGTTTTCGATAGTTTGTTTCCTTCCTGCACAATTTTATTGTCAAAATAATAGTTTCGACAAAGTATTTTAAAGAAATAAGTCTCATTTAGAGAAATACTTACAGAAGTATTTACATGTGTCCGAAATAGGTGAATGGGAGTAGCCACACGGTTGATTTTTTAAGTTTATAGTCGTAAACTTTATCTGTATCGAAGTACCTTATAACGTTTACGAATGACACGAAATTGAATCACTCTGGAAGCAATCAGCCCGATCCGTGTTACGAACTTGTAGCTTATGTTAGCTACTTCATAGGTAATTACAGATATTGAGCGAAACGCATCAACAAAAACATCATTTCAATTTTAACTCTAACGTAAAACAGATTTATGATGTTATTAATCGCTCTTGAAGCGACCTATATCGAAATCAATCGAAAACACCATAATTTAAACGAAATAATAGGTCTAATAGTCCCATAAACTCTTTACTGGATTGTTAAAGGGTTTAATAATCTATTAAACCCTTTATGAATTCGTTAAAATAACAGGTCTAATGTACAACGTAGACCCCTTAATGTTATAATAAATTAACGGGTCAAATTTATATACGACCGTTAAGATACCTTGCTTCATGTGGTTCGAGTCTCCACTAAATTTTATGGAAGTCGGTAAATTATGGTTTGATTTTTAAAAATTAGTTTTTTAATCAAGACTCAAATGACCATCAAACCATAATGTACTGCTTTCAAAAGGATACTTTGTTTTGTGGTTTGAGTTTCGGCTAAGTTTTATGGAAGTCGGAAAATTGTGGTTTGAGTCTTAGTTAAAAATTAGCTTTTTATTCAAGACTCAGACTACAATTTACTGTCTCCCATCAAATTTAGCCGAGATTCGAACCACATAAAATAAGGTATCTTAACGGGTCGTATATAAAATTTTGATCCGTTAATTTAACAGAATAATAAAGGGTCTATACTATTTATTAGACCTGTTATTTTACATCATTGTGAATCACTAACGCCCATTTCTACCAACCTTGGTTAACTTAACCGGTCGGTTATCTCAACGGAATTGACCAATCGTATTTGTCGTTCATTAGAATTGTTATATGCGATTGGTCCATTTCGATGGAAATAACCAGCCGGTTAAATTAACCACAGTCGGTAGAAACGGACATAAAAATCTTCAATTATATATATGGTCTGTTCTTTGTAGCTGCACTGCTGAACTGGTGCAATAAGCTAGAGTGAGAGAACCTATATTTGTCTCGCTTTAACTTATTGCACCAGTTCAACAGTGCAGCTACAAAGAACAGACCACTTTATACATACTGACATATATATGCATCATAATTACTAATTATCTGAAGAAACAGCAAAAGAGTATCTCGAATACGTTTTGTGACAAAATTTATAACGGAAAAAAATTACGTATGAAAGAAAAAGTGATAATTACACTTCCGGAAACTTCAAATTTAAAAAATGACCATCAATCACTAGCACCACCTATGGACAAAAACGTAAGCATAACCAAATCTGTGTAACCGCTCTCCTTCATGGCCTTCATGCCTTTACGTGTATCCCACCAATGTTCACAACAATGGTTGTGCCGGTTGAATTTTAGGTTAGATCATTCGTATGATCTCGTGTAGTTTAATAAATCCCCTAACAGTGTGAAAAATGGACAAAATAAATAAAATAATGATATGTGACCCCAACGAGGACGACATAGAGAATGGGAACGGGGAAGATATAGAGAACGATAACGACGAGGACATTGAGAATGACATATTACGCGATATCAAACCAGTCATGTGGATCAATGACGATCCAAACTACGAGTTGGACGAGATTAATATGTTTTTTCATAGAGTCGATTCGAACCAAATTATATACGAAGAGAAGAAGAAGAAGTGTAAATTTATCGGCAAGTACGTCATGGGCGACGTTCTTGGTGAGGGTAGTTATGGGAAAGTGAAAGAAGTATTGGATTCGCAAACGCTTTGTCGAAGAGCAGTCAAAATACTAAAGAAAAGAAAATTGCGGAGGATACCGAACGGAGAAGTGAACGTTCAACGGTGTGTTCAACGAAAATGTTACATTTTCTTTTCTCTTACAAATACAGTATGCATTACACTTTGTGATTCCTTATGATTTGTGTGACAAACGTAATGAGGTACCGCAACATGATTTTCGCTTGTCGCTTACGTTTGCTATCGAATAACACTTTGTTACATTTGTTTACAGGGAAATAAAATTGTTAAGGATATTAAAACATAAAAATATAATAAACCTTGTAGATGTTTTATATAATGATGAAAAAGAAAAGATGTATTTAGTTATGGAATTTTGCGTATGTGGGTTACAGGTAAATTTTGACATGTATTTATTATTTCTAATATTTATTAGACACGTATGTGTATTTGCATATACATATATATATATATATTGGTTAAAATATAAATAGTTTTGAACAATCTTTGAAAATACAACGATATGTCACAATTCTTTTATTGATGTTTATTATTCCATGAGACATATTTAATTTTTGGTTTATTATACTGTAATTATCAATCAAAAGTTGCAATTAAAAATAATAATGTCAAATTCTTTTGTATTCTTTTGAGGCATTCCTTAGAAATATATTTTTAGGTTTAACGCCTCAGTCATCGTAGGCATTGTAAAGAAAAAAGTGACAATTTTCATTGTTAAAGTTGTATCTGTTACAGTTGTGATTGAAGTGTATAAAGGTTTTAAGTTGTTTCTTAATGTAAGGGAAAACATCTTTTAGTTTTTGTAAAATTGATGTGATAACAGGAAACCCTAAAATTCTCCTAAATGTAATTTTTTTTCTCTTCAATATGAATAACACAATTGTAATAAAAAGGGAGGACTGTAATAAATCACACCAAGTCTCTGCTACCGATATCTGTAACAATGGCTTGCATGAATTAACAACAATTAGATTTCTATTTATTAGATCCTTTACAGGATATGCTGGAAAGCACACCAACCAAGAAGCTTCCGCTTTGGCAGGCGCACGATTATTTCTGTCAGTTGTTGGATGGTTTAGAATACCTTTACAGTAAAGGGATAGTTCACAAAGACATAAAGCCTGGAAATTTGTTATTAACCCTAGATGGTACCTTAAAGATTAGTGATTTTGGCGTTGCAGAGGTACAATCTCTACCTATAACTCCTTATTTTGATGTAGAAACATATATCCGCGTTTGTCGTAATTGTAAGAACCAAATCAGAAAGCAGACGATAACGCGTTAACGAAAAGATGACGGGCGGAATATTCACTTATGTAATAACATAACACATATTTTGCAAAACAAAACTCGTACTTTCATTCCTGTTTGTGATTACGCATCTCCATTGTGCTAGGCGTTAGACATGTTTTCCAAAGACGATACATGTACGATAGGTCAAGGTTCGCCGGCGTTTCAACCGCCAGAAATCGCAAACGGCTGCGAAAGTTTCTCAGGTTTCAAAGTAGACATATGGAGTAGTGGGGTGACATTGTAAGTAACATTTGTAACGACCTCGCGGTCCACAAGCAACATAGTCTGCATCTATATTTTATAGGTACAACATAACAACAGGTTTATATCCTTTCGAAGGCGATAATATATATAAATTATACGAAAACATTGGAAGGGGTGAATATACTATACCAAAAGAGATAGAGGAGCCTTTAAAATCGCTTATAGAGGGAATGTTGCAGAAGGATGCGGATGAAAGATTTACATTGCAACAGGTTAAAAGGCACGCCTGGACGATATGTAAGCACCCTAAGACACAGGAGGAGGTGCCTGTGCCGCCCCTCAAAAAAGACGGATGCCATAGCATGACCGTTCTACCATATCTGATGGAGTATCATTACGGAGTTGACGAGAACCCCATATATTATACGGAACATCAGCTGAACGGTGGGTTTATCTACAGCTGCGACGACACCGATGACCACGATGATGATGCTTTTTTTGTATCTTAACGTATTTGTGTGATATATATATACTTGTGGAGAAGCACTACTTTGTTGTCACGCATTAGCGGCGGGAGAGCGTTCAAGGAAAAACAAAAAGCAATGTGTTGTTTCTTTCCGTAGAAGAACGAAGGCTCCAAGAACTGGATCGCATCAGCGAGGACCGCAAAGCGACCTGTAACAGCCACCATACGAAGTCCAATGCGCACCAGAACAAACGGAGATGGCGCAAACCGATCTCGTGCATTAGCATCAAGAGGTTCCCGTCGTGCAAACCGTCGTGATTTCGCCGATTAGGCGCTGTATATTCATTCGCTCTGTATCTCGCTGACCGCTGTCAGTCTCGCGAAGTTTCTCCTTGACGGAGATGACTGAAGGCTCGACGAAAAAAGAAAAAAAGAGAAAACGGAAAGAAAAAGCAAAAAAACGAAGCTGAATACACGAGATGTAAATGCATCGTCGTTGCAGCGCACGAATAGAATACGGAACTCGAGTCAGTTCAAAAAGCGTCGGATGTAAACGTTTGTGATATTAAGATTAAATAGCGTAACCAATAATCAACGATATCCTTATTAATCGTCCAACACCATGAAACGCTCGATACGAGGGCTGACAAATTGTTCCGCGGTGCGGTTCTCGACACAACGCGATTGACGAGATAAAATCGCCGCTTGTCAGGAGAACCTTACGCATTCACTTTGATTTCCGTACGAGATGAAGTTCGATGCCTCTTCGGGAGTTGCACAATATGCGCTTTTTATAAATTCAGCTCGCAAGGTCATCGTGTTTGGCGCATACGACGTTGTTTCGGTAGCCGATATAAGTGCGTTATACATCTGCCATTACTGTAACATATCGTTCGCATTTGTAAAAAGACAAAAAAAGAAAACAAGCAAGAGTATTTCTTTCAATAAAAACGAATATCCTGGTTGCTACTTCTGCCCACTCGATGTATATCTATCATTGTCTCTTCGGATTTTACAAATTGATGAAATGTTAAATAGATGAGATTTCATTTTCCAGCGATACAATTTAATCGCAGTAGTTTCAATTTAATTTTATCGTCACAAAGGATCCTTGTTTCGGCTTTACGAAACGCGAAGAGATTAAAAGTTCATCTATTGCTTCCAAGGTTCTTCAAAACTTGATCGATTGTCACGGGTCGATTATTCGAAAGTCGATTTCTAGTTTTTCGATACTGCCCAATCCTACCTTCGGGCTTCTCCGTATCGTGGCGTTAGTGATCGTATACTTGCTCTCTTCTTCCTTCTCGTTTCTCCTTACGTACTCTTCCTCGCTTCTTCTTAGGCCTTAGCACTGGGTGATGATGCCGCCATCTTAAAGTGCAGTGTCATCAGCTTTGATCAGCGCGCTCCGTAAAAGTGGATGACGATTGTCCGATCGGTCTCGTTTGCGTAAAATAGCGATTTTTTCTACATCGACAAGTATGTCGAGCGGAGCGCTTTTCGGTAACACCGCCTCGCGCGGAGCCTCGAAAAATCTCGTGGAATTTAAGGCCGGCAAGATGACTATGAAGGATAAAATGGTTTATCCGGACACGCGAAAGGGTCAACTCTATGTCTATCAGTCCGATGATTCGTTGATGCATTTCTGCTGGAAGGACCGCACAACTGGCGTAGTCGAGGATGTATGATAATTTTACTTTAACGGAATTCTTAAGAAAATTACTAAGCAAATAAGAAGATATGCAAAAGTGCACTCTATATCTAGCCTTGCATGCTTAAAATTTGCACCTTTGGATTAGTTTGATCTTTACTTTTTATCTTCTTATTTTTTATATTCCATTTTATTGATCGATTATTGTATCAAATACATAATGTATCTCTACAAATCAAATGTACTTTTCAGGACTTAATAATCTTCCCTGATGATTGTGAATTTAAACATGTTCCTCAATGTAAAACTGGCAGAGTATATCTCCTACGGTTCAAGTCATCGAGTAAGAAGTTCTTCTTTTGGCTGCAGGTGAAAAATACAGTTTTGTAGTGTACTACAAACTACCGTAAACATCTTAAAACTCAGATAGAAGCATATTAATTTAGATATAATTTTATGTTGTGTTTCGTAATTTTTTCATATAATGTATAATTTTGTAATACATGTATTTTATTCTTACAGGACCTCAAAACGGATAAAGATGAGGAACATTGTAGAAAGATCAATGATGTACTTAACAATCCACCAACTCCTGGATCCCAGAGAAGCGGCAGCACTAACCCCGAAGGGGATCTTCAGAATTTATTGAACAACATGTCGCAACAACAGCTTATACAATTGTTTGGTGGCGTCAGCCAGATTGGTGGCCTTGGCAGCTTATTAGGCACAATGAATAGACCGCATGGTGTTCAAAGCACAAGAGCTTCCACTACAACCTCATCCACCTCAGCAGCCACAAACACACCTAGAATCACTCATTCATTGACCCCTGGTTCTACTACAGACTCGTCTAAATCTTCAAGTAAGTTACATTAGTATGATCTGATGTAACACTTCTATTAATGTGAGATGTAATAACATATTCCGACGATACACTAATTAGATAATAATAACCAATTATCAGCGAGAACACCAGCTCCGTCCACACCGTCCGCTCCGGCAACAACGGGTCCAAGCAATAAAATACAGCTTAGCGACTTGCAGAATTTTCTATCGGAAATTCCAACGCCACCGCCGGTGGAAGTAACAGTGCAGGTAATATCATAATCCACATTTATTACATCAAGTATAAGTTAAGTCGTATATTAAGTATAGATTATAAATGATATTCAGTCGCTCAAATATGAGTAAGCTTTGAAATCTTAAAACAGTTAAAGATCCTCTTTGTCATATTTATTCTTTTATCCAAAAGAAGATAATTCAAAATATCATTATACTTATAGCAGATCTTATAAGCAATTATCTTTAACTTTGTACCTGCTTGGTAGATAAAAATTGTATAATAGTGAGTTGATAAAAAGAACATTGTCGTATTAATATATAAAAGAAAAATAACATTTGTGGCGGACAAATCATGATATTTTATATGAATATATGAATGCAACGAGGAAAAAATTTATCTGTAAGTTTCCAAAGTATGAGAAAAGTATGATATAGAATACTTTTTGCTAGATTGGCTTGCAGGAACGAAATATTTATCGCGTTACTAATTGCATATTTTTTACAGCTATTATTATCGGGAATGTAAAATTGTACACGAAATTATTTTCAAGCTCTTTCAGTTTTTTTCCTCTACAAGTGTCTAAAATTATTCTCAAATTAGCAAACTGAGCAAGTAAGAGGTGTAATTTTTATATCATTTTTATCTCTATTTATCTATGATCACTAAACCTTTTTCTTTATGTAGTGTATTTCACGTTTCGGTTTTGTCATACAAATAAAATTGTATGAGTCACCATTAAAATTAACATAATAGTTTAATACATTCATCTATTAAAAACTCATTAGTATCTAAATTATTATTATTGTTTTGATAAAATAACAAATGTTGAAAAATTTTGAGTGAGTTAATGAATTGTATACTCGACTAATACATTCAAGTTTGAAACAAGCTGATTGTCTACATGTGCTTGTAGATGATAATGTCATTAGAAATTATATAAACAACAAGCTGTGTGTCATATATTGTTTGCTCACTTATGCTACAATGTTACGTTTACTACCACTGAAACTCTGTAAGGTTTTAATAATCCATAAAAGAATTGCATTACACACCACTCGCAATTCTCAGTGTTTCATAGTCATCAGTTCCATACAACAGTGTTCTTTGTGAGATTGTTAAATACAATTATGTTGCACATTTTCTGTCATACATTGTGAGATTACATTTTCTAATATATATATATATATACTCATCTCTAAGCTTGGTGCTAAACACTTGAAAATGAAGATTATTAAGTAGATTGTTAAATGATAATATTGACGAGGAGTATCAAGATAAAGGGAGTAATTATCATATCACGAATCTGTGATACACATCCGTGACAGCTGTTAGATATAATTCACTTTAAGATAACGCTAGAGAAATCCGAAAAAGGCAGAGAGAGAGAGAGAGAGAGAGAGGGAGAAAGAAAGAGGACCATGGTTCTTTCACTGTTCAATATTATTCTCCGTCCAAACTTTACCTGGCTGTCGGAGACTTTGGCTCTGTTGAGCAGTTGGGCAAGTCTCTCCGGTTATACCTGCTGTTTTCGGCCAGCTACAGCGCAGCTTATTGTCCGGCAGAGGGGCGTAGCGACAGAGCTGACCAATGCCATCCCAGGGGCGATTTCCACGACGGAGAGCCTGGAGAGTGCCATGAACATGCACTTGCCGCCCGGGGACAACCTGTGTACCACGCTCTCGTCCCCCCAGTTCTCCCAGGCGCTATCAATGTTCTGGTCTGCTTTGCAGTCGGGCCAGGCGGGCCCAGTCGTCCGTCAGTTTGGCCTGGGACCGGACGCCGTCAATGCCGCGGCCAGTGGCAACATCGAAGAGTTTGTCAGCGCGCTGGAGTCCGAAGCGAAGAACGGTCAAGGACAGCAAGCGCAGCAACAGCAGGGGCAAGACGACAAGAGCAAGAAGCAGCCGTCGTCGTCGGCCGCTAGTCCCGATAAGAAGGATGATGACGATGAGGGCATGGCTTTAGACTAAGGATAGGCTTTGCGCGTCTTTCATTGCTTTCTTCTTCTTTTGTCTCGTTTTCTTTTTTCTTTTCACTTTTCTCAATCGTATGCGATGTGCAGTAATGTCGCAACAATCTGCGTGTACGGCGAGAAATTTCCTCCCAGAGACGCGATTTTTTCCCGATTTAATTTGTAGACATTTCGATAACATGCTTACACCAGTACGTATGTGAATGTTTTCTTTCCCAAGTGTTCGATAATCCTGTATTTATACATATGAATGAGCAATCCTGTTGATGAATAGTTCAATAGAAAAAAAAAAATTGGAAGATGTCATCAAGTCATTTTATTCAAGTTACACGTATGTACGGAAATTAATATTGTTAAACCGATTTTGTATACGATAAACAAAAGTCTACTGGATCTATCGAATTGTGAATACTTAAATATAACAAATTTTAACAGAAATACTGTGATTTATTTATTATAAATATATTACACATGAACATATATTTAATATTGAGCATCTAGAATAGTATAGAAAATTTTTTCTTTCATATATAAAAAGTTTTTCGTTTAATTCAAATATTTTCCCGTCCTGACATGGTTTTAAAATGTCATTTACGAATTTAAAGAGTTACATAATGTGAAATGATATAACTTCAAACTTTGTTGCATGCTGTAATTGTTTGCTGTAATTATCCTTATATATACTAGAATCTTTTCCCTGTAAAAAAAGCTGGTTTCTTTCAATATTAAAATAAAATATCAAAATAAATTTTATATTAATATTAAATATTAAAATATTAAAATTATATTAATATTAAAATAAATTAATATTAAAATAAAAGACAAATAGTTTCAAAAGTAATATACTTTTTATTCATCTTTTACAGTAATCAAATGAGTATTTGACGTCGAAATACATAATAAGGCATAAAATTTAGTCGTATAAAAATATAGTGGCGGGAAAGTGCGGTCCAATCAGCGACTCTTGTTTACGACGCACAAGCATCTTATTGGTTCCCCGCGATAATCGATATATACCTGTATTATTTTATCAGTCCCTGTTGAATCGAGAAAACTGAAATATATACATATTTTAACATTATCATCAATAAATACGATACATTTGTTGCATCTAATATCTTATTAATTTTCTCAAACTTCAGTCTCAAGAAAGATTGCGATCACTAGAGACGCGTGAGTGTCAGGTGTTTGCATGTCATTCGCGATAATATTCTATTGGTTGCTTGATTATGACATCACTCAGGCGCGGCTGTCAACGCGACAGATTAAAAGTGTGGGTGCTTTCGTGAGTGGAACGTTTTTTCATGAAATTTTTTATAACATCTTAGTAAATTGATTTATACATTCGCACACGCACAATATGTATGCGTAAATGTATAGACCGACGGGCAGAAATATTTGTAGAAAAGTCACAGATATTTATATAGTAAAAAATTTTTTATATTTTTCTTGTGAATGTAAGTGTTGACAGAACAAAAAATGTATATATCGTTGCAATAAATGTAAAAAAATACTAAATCTAGGCGCAAGCAATATTATCGATTTATTTGAATGAAAATTGATTACGATAAAATTGAAGAAAAGGGAGGAGAAGAAAAGGGATGAAACGAAGAACCGCCTGTATATTTTACATTATTCCCTCAGGGACCAGCGACAACAAAGAGAACCGATAGAGCAACTTTTGAATTTTAATAAAGATACACAGGTGCACAGTACAATCGTAACAGCAACAAGACGAGCGGAGACGCGCAGGCACGTCCCGTCGTCAGCGGCGGCGGCGGCGGCGGCGGTTTCTCTCCCGCGCCGATCGAAGAAGCGCGGCCGGCGGCTGGCTCCGGCGGCCAGCCGGGTATTTGTTTGTAAACAAGCCAGTCGCCCCGCGTGCGAACGCCCGCTCATGGCGCCGCGTGCCGGCCCTGAGAGCGGCCGCGGCTGCGCGCTGCCTCGTGAATCGAACAAGTAGTGGGGGACTCCCTCGCTAAACGCTGATCGCCGAATGCGCCTCGGCGAAATTCCGCTAAAAAAGCCGCGGCGTATATCGCGTCGGGCCGGACACAAGTGAGCATCGTTTCCCTTGTGAGTGCATCCGAACGGCCGTCGTCGGCGAGTCGCGAAGCGTCGTGACCAGTGTCATCGTGGAATAAGCTACGGGTATCACGATAACGCTATTGTTGTGATAGCGGTATCGCGGTGGCAGGCGGCGGTGCGGGAAGGGCAAGAGGAAGGGACGTAGCGAGGGAGGGAGTGAGCAAGCGAGCAACGAGACCGAGAGAAATAGAGATAAAGATAGAGATAGAGAGAGAGGGAGAGAGAGCGAGAGTTAGTGGCCGAGGGGGTGGGAGGTAAGCAGGCAGAGACCAGGGGGAAACGCGCGGCTGGTTCGGTAAAGAGGGAGTGAGACGAGGCGAATTGTGTGTATGTGCCAGGGAGAGAAAGAGAGAGAGAGAGAGAGAGAGTGCGCGGGACTCATACATACACGTACACACATACACACGCGCGCGCGACCGTGTCCGTGTGCACAATGGCAACCTTGACACTTGGTGATCGTTTTTGGTGGCTCCGCGTCGCGGAGATCGCACGTCCGAACAGCGGCATCGCGTAGCGGGTGAAAGCGACGACGGCGGGCGCGCCTCGAGCAGCAGCAGCAGGAGGAGAAGGAGGAGGAAGACGAGGACGAGAGTGGTGGAGGAAGGAGGGAAGGATAAGAAACCACGGTGTGAAGAAACGCGGGAGTGTCGCATACGTGGACGTCGACGAGGATCTCTTTCTCAAGAGAGGAGAAAGAGAGAGAAATTCGGCTCGCGCACGTCCGATGCGTCGCTCGCTCGCGCGCGCGCGCTCATGAGAAAGCGAGAAAAAGATAGAGCGAGTTTGTTTTCGGTGGAGGTCCGTCCCTCTTTGTTTTGATCGGCCGGTCCGTCGAGAAAGCGTGTTCGGGAAGCCGTCGCGTAGAGCGCACCACGGCGTCGCGACACGCCGCCAACCGCTGGGAACGCCGGTGGTGCTGATCATCGCCGTCGCGCGCCGGGCGACCGCAGAGGATTCGCCGCGCTGAAGGTTATGACAAATGTCGCTCGTTCGAGAGACGACGACCACGGCGGCGTGAATCATCGGTTATCGTTCTAGCCGCTCACGACTACACGCGCACGTGTCTGTGTCTGTGTGTGTGTATGTGTGCACGTTCTGCCTGCAACGTGTCATTCGCAAAGGGACGTTACCGCTCAGACTCGTCGCGAAGTGGGCGAGAGACTCTGCCGTTTGCCCGATGAATTTCAAGCACGCATAATTCAACGTCACGCGGTCCTGTGTGTAATAAACGTCGATTTGACACAGCTTCGTATTGTATCACACGGCTTTAAAGCGCAGTTCCCGCGTGCGTCGGCAAAGTTTGATACTCGGTTACTTGATCGTCCGGAAAACTGAATCGGTCCACTCTCAATGGACTTGTAGTTCAATGATCGATGTGAATGATAATCGGGCCGCTCGTATGACCGAGTTTCCTCTCTCGATTCATCATCTTCAAGTTTGATCTCAGCTTTCTCTCTTCTCCCCCTCTCCTCGCAGGAGTCAAGATTTTGGTCGCGTTAAGTACGAACTGACGTTGATGTTCAACTAATGTTTAATATTAACAATTTAATATTAATCAAATCTGATGGTTTCGCGTAATTTCGAAAAGCCGAGTGCCGGCACTTCCGTCCCTCGAAGCGATGCGCATGCGCACGCGCGCGGAAACGTCAAGTCGCGCGAGTTCGCACGGCGACCGGTTCGACGACCCAATTTCTTTTCTCGTCGTCCGCGGTACGACGAAAACACAAAACACACGGAAGCACATCGAGAGCGCACGTACATGTGTGTGTGCGCGCGCGCGCGCATCTTGTATATGCGTGCGCATGGCTACGTGAACGCACGCGGAAGTCGCGCATTTCTTCTGCGTGTTCGCCGCGCGACGGCGCGCACCGTGCCAAACAGGAGAATCAATTTGATGGGAAATACCCCGCGCAATTTCGATTGCCTGCGATCGACAGTAATTTGCATCACCGCTATGCAGCGAGATTATGGCTGCGTTCCGAAATTCACTGTCAGTACTGAAAATACATAGTTCGTGTCACGTATACCATAGAATTTCAGTGCTAGCAGTGAATATCGGAACGCAGCCTATGTTGGATCGTCCATCTCATCGAGACGATCGATCGCGCGATTATCGATTGTACGAATTACGAACAAGCACTCTTGACTTCGTGACGCGTCTGGTGTCGAGAAGGAAATTTGATTCTTCGGGAGTCGTGATGAAACGAATGTCTTCTCTTCCGCGAACACCGCGTAATTCGTAACACGATGCGACGTTCAGCCGGAACAATTGACGAGAGCGACCTTGTTTGTGCGCGGCAAAAACGGCGATGCAGGAGCAAGCAGCGTACCGTCGCATTCGTCCTCGTCTCTGCGTTTTTCCAAGAGCGCGGCAAACGGATTCCGCGAGCGGGAACATGAAAAATATAACTTCCTTTTCATTTGTGTGGACCGCAACGGTTCCTTCACGCCCGGTATTTCGATACGTGCAACGCCTCGACCGGTCGTCCTCCTTCGCGCGAAAATATGTCGCGACATAAGCGCCTTCGCGGAGATTGTAGGTAGGTTAGATCTTTGCCGAGTCCAGGAAGATGCGACGAGAGTCGGCAAGTACAAGCGGAGAAACGTTCAACTTACGATACGCGTCGCTTTATTGACGGACAATTCTCCCGGCTTTTGTCTTCGCTCGCAATAATATCGCGAACGCGTGCGCCAAGTTTGAACGGACGGCAAAGTTGAAACGGCAGTATGTGGCGCGCGATGTTACGTCGTCGCTTGACATTTGACGACCGCTTTCTGTATCGAGCGTATTTTTCGCCTATTGTATCGAAGCTACTTATGAAGACTCGTTGCTTGCGTTAAGGTTGGCAACGAATAGTTGCACTCGCTCGCGAAGAAGGAAGAGGTTTACCTTATGTGTCTTTATCATCTACCTTTCTCTCTCTCTCTCTCTCTCTTTCTCTCTCTCTCTCTCTCTCTCTCTCTCTCTCTCTCTCTCTCTCTCTCTCTCTCTCTCTCTCTCTTTCTCGGCATAATATGGAGTATTACGACGAAGACGACGGAATGTTACAGTTCGTCCGCGTCTGTTAGATCTTCCTGTCTCCTCCTCGAATTATGCGCGAAATAAGCTAAATATAACAAACAGGGCTCGCCGTAGTGATTAAGAATACCTGGGGGATGATTCACTTGTAATTGAAAAATTGCGAGATTACCGTTCGGCAAGGAGGCGAAAGGCCGCGAGAGCGTGGGTGGGAAGTTTAAATTCGCCCGACTGCCCGACCCGGTGGCCGCCTGTAAAAGGAACTCTTCGCGATCGATCGATCTCGCGAAGAGTATCGCGCGGTTCGATGGAGAATCGCGAGGAGAGGCGAGGCGCCGCCGAGAAGATAAAACCGCGATGTTCACGTTTGCGGCTGTTGTTCCAGAGAATCCGGTCACGTGTGCGTGGACATTGACGTCGAGAGCGCAGCGGAGGGATGCGATTTTCCCGAGTTCGTTCGCGAGTGATATAGAGAGACCGATAGAGAACGAGCTAGAGAGAGGAGAGGAGAGCCGGCAGTGACACGACTGCCGCGCGCAGCCATGTAGCTCGCGCGGCACGCCGAGAAAGAGAGAGAGAGAGAGAGAGGGGGGAGGAGAGGGAGAGAGAGAAGAGAACGATTACACACAGTGCGTCGTTGCGTTTTGCACGCGCGCGTGAATCGCGACGGGAATGCCGCAGTGAACGACCAGCGTCGCAGAACGTAAGACGATTCTCGTGCACGTCTCCTAATATTCACCTGTCACCTGTGAGAGGATACACGCAAAAAACAAGGTGAGAGAAAGAGAGAGAGGGAGCAAGCGCGCGCTGAGGAGAAGGAAGAGAAGAAGGAAGAAGAAGCGCATGTGATCGCGGGGATTAGAATCGATAGAATTTCGTCGAGTACGTGCGGGATTGCTTTTCGAAGTCTAAAGATGAGAGAAAACACGGCTCGCTCGGCCGTGCGACAATGAACAAACGCGGCAATTGACGCGTGTGATGTGTATGTCGAAAATTGCAACTCACCGAAATTGCGATCGCTTCGATCCCCGATTTTCCATTAGCGCCGTCGGTTGACTCTTTCAAGACCCGAGCGATGATTCATCTTGATGTCGAGCGTGAATTGTCGTCTTTTCAGCTCAATTATGTCCGCTCTGCATTTTTGTCACGATGAAAAATTGAAATTTATGAGCACGCACACACATACACACACACAGTATCTTGAAATCGATACGCCATCGGACATTCACGTATTTTTATCTTGTCTTGAGAGATTCAACGGCGCCGGTCGATTGTCTTATGGACTCTCAGCTACGTTTGAAATCTCTGTGCTCTAATGCTTTTTTCTTTTATTCTGTCGGTTACCTGCTCGACCTGCTTGAAACTTATCTCTCTTTTGGACGTTCTGTGGATTGCTTGAAACATTTGCATGCAAAGTATTCGAAATCGACATTCTAAATTCGGTGTCGTTCGCGGTGATTTGCTGTGACGGAAGCTCGATCTCGTGTGAGACATTTAATATTCATTTATATTTAATATTCACGTGTGTATTGCGTATTGCGGTGTATCAGCAAAAAGTGGCAACTCTTTAACAAGTGTCTCAGTTTGGCGCATTACGATTTTATCAGTCGCGATTGTAAAACGTGTCGCGTCTCGACGCGTCCGTCTAGCTAATCTCGTGCGAGTTAATCGCGAAGTAAATTTGTTCAAGCGAGACCGCGAACGGACGAGTCCTTATTTTCCTGACGATTATTTTCTGTACGACGGAGACACGGATTTCTTAACAGTACGGTTTAAAGGCGTGGGCACGACGGACGTGAGAGAGAGAGAGAGAGAGAGATGTTCATGCTGTTGTAAATTTAAAGAGAACATACGCTTGCAAAGACGATAGCGGTGTACGGTCAAGGGAGACAAAGAATGAAGGGAACGAAACGGACGAAATAAAAGGAACGGAAGAAAGGCAGAAAGAGAGAGAGAGAGAGAGAGAGAGAGAAAGATGGAGAAGAGGAGGGAGAGAGAAAAAGATGGACAGAAGAAAGGAGAGGCACACAACACACTCGGTGAACTTGAGAAACGAGAATCGCACCGGCTTACCGAACATCCCGCAGATATTTCACGCGGTCTCTTTCGCTCTTAATCTTGCAAAGATCGAGATTTAGTTCTAAATTTCTCATTCATGTCTGTACTTTAATTCTCCATCCATTCAATTTTACTCATTTTGTTTACTTCGGTTTTTTATCGCAATTTTTTTCTTTTTTTTTCTTTTTGTAAATAACGATGTCATGTGTTTGGAAAAATTAAACGAGATGAAAGAATAAAAATGAATCATGTATATATGTGTGTGGGTTTGTTTCTGTAATATATCTTATACGAAGTTTTACATCTTTTTTAATATTTTATTATCAGAGCATGAAGCACGGTTTTTGACATGTTACACTTACAAAATCGTACGTCTCTCTTTGCAACGCTAACCAGCGCGCAGAAGCTTGCCGCTTTAATTGCGTGAAAACGAGATGATTTTTAGTATATAAAGGTTTGCGACGCGCGTATAAAAAACTCGATGGCTCAATGACATTGAATGCGTAGGAATTGAGTCGATTGACATTGAGGAACATATATCGGACATCATCTTGTGAATCGAGTTTGCCGTTCGCAGTCTTTTAGTCAACGGGATGTAAAGTGATGAATCTCGAGAGAATAAATGCCACCAGAAAGGTGCTCGCGACAAAATAAATGACGAAAATGTACCAAGTGTCCTCGTCAAACACATCGGTGAAAGCTGGAACTTGACTGTAGAGCGTGTCAATAAGCCTTATATTGTAATTTTTACTTTCCGTCTGCCTCGCCATCTCTGGATTTAATTCTTCTTCCTCAATTTTGACAGAGTAGCAGACGCACGTGTTGCGTCTGTGCGTTTCTCGTTTTTACGGTTGGACTTAAATCGTGTGTACGTCGATGAGCTGAGTTATCTCAGCTGTGCTAATTAAATTAATACAGTTCGAACTACACTTTTTATTAGACTGCTAAGATCTAGTCGTGAGAAACCCTGTAAGAATATAAAGCGATGATTATTGTCGATATTCGATGGTTGTCTTTTTTTTTTTTTTTTTCTAAAAGATTCAATCAGCCGCTCGAAATAATACAAATAAAATGTTTATGCTCTCTGTTCTATCGACGGATGTACATTTTTCCGAGTCGGCGCGCGATCGTCTCAAATTATATTATATTATTATTAATTATGATATTATGATTTTTGCAAAAAAGAATATCTCAGCGACACCAGCGGTCTCTCTTGAAGTATAATTTAGAAGTATCTCTTTTGATCATTGATTTATTACCAGTCACAAACAGTTAGACAGGTCGCCAATGAGCTTATAAAACTACTATTCTACGTTTGGCTCCTTCTTTTATCTTTCGTCCCCGCTTTTTCTTCTTTTTCTGAAGCACGTTTTTCTCCTCGAGCTTGATCGGTTCGGGCGGTACTAAAGGGGTGATGTGTTTGTTGTAAAGCTCCAAAATACTCAGACACGTCAAAAGACTCGTTTTTAATACCACTTTTTCATCTGACTCTGAAAAGTATAAACAAGTGACCTGTTTGCTCATTATCTTGCGCTGCGTTATTAAACGCGATGATGGAGATGAGAGAGAAAAGGTATAAAAGAAAAATCTACGCGGAAAACTAACTTTCCCGTCCCAGCAACTTCCGACAAAAAATCATTCGCACTTGTGACTATCAATTTATTCGCACAGCAAATGAATAATTTTTGACCGTGAATTTTTCAATTGACCGTTTGTCAACTAAAACGCACACGAGATCTCGTTTATCAAATTTTAATTGTTACTCTGCGTTATCTCTGAGAAACTTTGCTTTCCTTATACCTTTTCGAGTTGTACTCTATGACGTTTATATGATGAGCGTATTTTGCGAACACTACTCGTATGAGGAATGTTGTAATGGATTTGAATACGTAATAGTATCTTGCCATACTCACGAAGGCTAAACGTGACGTTCGGATCGGAACGATCGCACACAATCTCCGTTTTCAGCGAACAATACGGATTTGTCGCTCTGATTTTCGGGCTGCTAAAGTAAAATAGAAAATCTCTGCAAGGAAAAAGAAACGTTATGCGCGTTTCGCTCTCACGTGTCATCCGTTGTAATAACGTTAGCGTTGATTACGGCATGTGAGAACGATTAGATGCATCGCTTGAATCTATATTTCTTCGCTTGTCTTTTGCCGTTTCCCGCTTTCTTAATTTTCGACAATTTTGCGCGCGTCGGTTCGAAAAACTACGCGCGATTCGCTATTCTCATTTTTGCTCTCCTAAACTTCGTTTCTCAAAATTTGTCGTTTTTTTCTAGGCAGAATGGCACAAATGGAACAGCAATTACCGCTTCCAATGCCAGATTTAAGTACCCTTCGTATAACCACAGCCGTCTCCATGCTTGGCAAAGCGTATGGATGTGGCCAGTGCAGCGGTAAGTCTCACATTTGTTTAAACAACGAAAGATACGAATATGCGAAATTGCTACGAAACACGAGGAAATTCACGCGCTTTCCCGTGTGTACTCGCTATATTTTTTCTATTGTATACACACGCGCACACACATACACACAACGTTACGACGGTAATCATCTTCGTCAATTTGAAACACATCTTCAAAGCAACTGTTTAGAAACACATTTGTAGCTCCGAGTAGATTAGATTTCGCTCGTGTAAATTTATTATGCCCTGGATCCATCTGAGTTTGTACTCTCGCGGCAAACTTCCGTATTAATGGCTCGACTATCAAAATCGAAACGAATGGTCGGGGTTGGAGAAGATTGTGCAGATAAGTGGGGAAAAAAAGAGAACACCTTTGAGCGAGACAAGTGCCGCGAACTCTCTTTCGCAACGACGTCACCGACACGACCAAGACCGTAATTTTATCTCGTAATTCAATATTAAAGTAAGGAAGGGTGGATGATTCACGTCGTCGGTATCGAACCGCAGCCTCGTTTGTGCACAAACGTCAAAATCTCGCACGAGCTTGCGAACGAGGGAGAAACGGAGAGAGGGGCGGGCACACGTCTTTCTATCTTTTTTACCTCTCACGTTGCGGTGACGTGGGTTATCCTGACAACGCGCAGGGCTCACTCAGGGAGGCTCGAGAATTTTCCGTGCTCGGAAGAAGGCTTTCCACGACCGACAATACGCGCACGATCGAGACACTTTTCTATAAATAACGGGGCTGCGCATCGTCTGCTAGCATAACGAGGGGATGCGAGTTGCGCGTGCGTGCGTTATCGACGTCACTGGCGGCTAACCTAACCTAACCTAACCCAACCCAACCCGATCCGATCTGAACCGACTTGATTCGTTCTCGACGATTGACTACGTTATTTGTTGAAATCTTTCGAAAAATGTGATTTTCTTCGGAATCACTTCGAATCCCCGTTTTAGTCGGGTGACATGAAGAAAGAAATCAACCAAAAGTTACCGATGATTAATCCAAGTTCAATCCGACTGTCATTCGCATTATTCTCGAAGAGAGATCAGTTTGTTTCGATTGTTTCGAGCTCCACGAGAAATCGATTACACATCATTCGATCACACTTGAGAAAAATCGCACGTTACGATTTTTACGAAGTTTACTCAAACCATGACTACTGTTCTCTCTCGCTCGCCTGAGGAAGCAACGACGAGTCGGAAGATTGAAGGAGAGACAAAAATCATTCCTCGTGGCGCGCGTTTCATACTTTCCGAGTAAATTACCGTCCCACGGACCGACACGGATCGTGTAAACAAAGAAGACGCGTCGAGAAATCGCGAATTTGACGCGGTGCCCGCGCGCAACGAGATACCGTGGCGCTCCGGTGCGCGGACAACTTGAGGGAACTAACCTCGTAGACTTGACATTCTCATGGAACGGGTCGAAACGGACATCGATCCTTTTGACTGGCTTTAAGTTGACGCCCTTCAGTTGCTTTATGATGGCACTGATCACGCCGGCGGAACGCGAGCGACAGCCGCTGAAGGGGATCGACATTTTGTGCAACGATGTGAGCACGCGATCCTGCCTCGCGACGTATCGTTCTTTACCACTGCCGGAAGTTACTGCGCCATGCTGCCAATCTACTTTGTATCTGCGTGCTACTACCATTGACGGTAGCCTCGGCGCCACTGCGCGCCGGTCATGCGCAGTGAACGCTCCGCGATGAGATACAGATCATTATCGGACCGAGAACTTTTTTTCCCTTTTCTTTTTTCTTTTTTTTTCTTTTACTTTTCTATTTTATCTTGATAAGGGGTCTTTTGACATCTCCGAGCTGGACTCACGTCAAGTGCAGTCTTATTCACGTGTGGGTGGAATATTTGTGTTTTTTGTCAAGTCGGGAATTCCCGCATGTATTTATTTCGCTTCAAGCGCAAAAATCGATCAGTTCTTGCAGGGAAAATCGCAGCAGCATTTTTATCTTCATGAATTCCACAGCGCATCAGGCAACCAATAGGAAAAGTTGATCTTTAATCATCCTCGAAAGATACATTTTTCTATTGGATATTGGAAAGAGCGTCGCAACCTTGTTCCCATTGGCTGGACATGGTGCAGTTAATCACATTTGTTTTAGCTAAATGTCTCTTCCTCTTTTATTCTCAGTACGGAGATGAAGTAGAACCAAAAGTTTAACGATAATGACACATCCATCTTTTTATGATTGGCAATAGCCTACTTTTATTACCTCATCAATCGGATCTATAGCAAGGCTATGATCTGCAATATCAGCACTTTGTGCGACATTGCCGTCAACGAACATGCGCGTTTCACACGAAGAAAGAAGAAATCGCACTTTTGTCCACGATCGACAGGGTCAATGAAACGGGATGTTAAAACGCGGTGACATATCGGCGCATTGCACACGTCTCACCGTCGTGTCAAGTATTCTCATATGGTTTTCGAATGCCGCGTAACAACAATGAGACGTAGCGAGCGACGCGATTGTAAGTGGTGGCGCGAAAAATTCACAAGCGTCACTCGTGCATTCATTGGTCACGACACGACCAATGGGTGCCGCACGAGCGGACGCCATTGCGAAGGGCAGTAGTCTCAGTTTGGTGTCGTTCGCAGTGTGTGTTGTGGGGAAGCGTGTAGTGCGGCCAGTGGGTCTTGTGTTAAATTTTTTACTTATTTATTAGTGGTTATCTGGTCTTATTCGTCCGGCGGTCGCGACAATGTATCCCGCAGGACAACGTGAGTATCCTGATATCGCCGTAGCTGCTCGGAACGATCGCGGAGATCCTGTAAACAAGTCCTCGCTGACGTCCGCTGACGAGAGAACGAGCGAGCGTACACGAGCCAGTGAACGAACTCTCTCAGCGCGGACGCAGCGTCCCTCGAACGCTTCCTGGCCTTTCATCCTATGCCCACCGATGGCCCCATTCGTTTCCCGGAACTTAGCGTACGCATCGCGACGCCTTTGCGGAAGAAATGACTCGTTAAATGACCTCGGATGAACCTCGCTCAACAGGCGCGCGTGTCGTCACTCGCCTGCGATCCGTTAGACGTCTCAGGCTGAGTCGCGCAGACCGAGCTCCACTGTATTAGCTAATCCTGATCTAACGTCTCGCTATCTCTCTTAAGATTACGCTTTTTATCTATAAAACGCGCGGAGATGGCAAGATAGGCGTAATTGAGATTCACTATTGGCTGGTCATCAACTTGAAAATACTTGAAAACCTAAGACTGAGCTATATTGTTTTCGGACTATTCGAGAAATTCAGGGTTTTCCTCGTCCTCTTCCTTGTCTCATGCCTGATTTTTATTATAGATAATAAATTAATATTGATTTTGGGTTAAATCAGCATTGACCGTTGATATATAACCAAACATTCAAGTCACAAGCTATACGAGTCATAAGACCCATTAGAAGAGAACCGCCTTGAGTTAAAAAGTATACTACTATCAGAAACAGTTGTCTAAACATCAGCAATTCAAACTTCGTATCATGAAAGAAACTAATGAACGTGATTGTACGTGTGAATGAACTCAATATATAGTAGTGATAAAAAATAAAAGTTATTTTTTCCAGTTACTTTGTTTAAGATGGAGATTTTTTAGTTGTTTTAGTTTATGTTGGAATTTCAGAAGCTAAGAGAGGAAATATCCTCAGGTTTAAAAGTAAAATGATATGTTATCATGAATTTTTGAAATAGCGAGATTTTATAAAATCATATGTATGTATAATTGGTGTGGACAACATGTTAATAGAGAAACACCATTTTGGGGTAATTTATAACAGCAGTAAATCTTTATATATTAAGTAACTGTCTACTACATAAAGTTAGTAATTGTGTAATATTAATAAAGAATCTTCTAGCATATGTGTCGAGATGTTTATGAAAAATCATTTAATTTAGATATTCAGTATGTATTTTGCTTTTTTGGCAACATTGCTACTTTAAATATTTTATAAAGGAATGATTTTCTACTAATAACTCTATATATATGTATATATAAATTTATATGGAATTTTAGATAATATTGAAAATTAAAGCATATTTTATTAATTCTAATTTATAGTTGTTTATAATTATCTTGTTAAATTTGTACATAAGTCTCTCTTCAATTCAATTATGATCTCTGACATTATGTGTTAAAAAAAGAACAAAAAGAAGAGTAAAAAGAGGTATATATAGATACTGTAATCTGTTGTTTAGCTTCTGCTTAAGATCTTTTCTTAAGCATTAAATATTCAATACTTCAATCAAGCAATTATTTGATTGAATACTTCACGAGTAATATTATTGCACATACATACACTGTTATACTTGTTAAATTAAAAGATAATCTAATTTAAAGGTAATCTAATCGCAATGAACTCCGGTAAACTGATAGAGAAAGAATAAACAGCGAGAAATTGGAGTGTATTTTACAAAATAATATTGTTTTCAATCTCACATAAACGTATATACACATATCACATACAAGGTTGATATTTCTTTATCTACATTTGGCATGTATTTTACATTGTTTTGTATTTTTGCAGCTCCCCCACCTGGGCCGTCAACGAGCGGTGGTTCTGTTGGGGCAGCTGGAGCAGCTGCTAGTAGTGTCGCAGCTCCTAGTTCTATGGGGCTTGTACCCGCACAACAGCCACACCCTCCTCAAGCATCAGAACTGCCAAGTAAGAAGTCAAGTATACATGGTCACACATATGAATGATGTATATACTAATATGACATTATATTATACATAAAAGATTAATGAGCGATTGCTTCCTCTTTATACGAGTTATTTGTATTCTTTTATAGCGTTTACATGCCCTCGGAGACCAAATATAGGGCGAGAAGGTAGACCGATTGGTCTGAGAGCCAATCACTTCCAAATTACTATGCCACGTGGCTATGTACATCACTATGACATTAATATACAACCTGACAAATGCCCTCGGAAAGTTAATAGAGAAATCATAGAAACTATGGTTCATGCGTATACTAAAATATTTGGAACTCTCAAGCCTGTGTTTGATGGCAGAAATAACTTGTACACAAGGGACCCCTTGCCCATTGGTAGTGATAAATTAGAATTAGAGGTAAATTACTATCCTTTGCCGTGTAACCGAGGATATGGCGGAATTTATGATAATTACAATTCTTATATCTTTACCTTTTTCTTAGGTTACACTGCCTGGTGAGGGTAAAGACAGAGTTTTTAGAGTGGTTATAAAGTGGTTGGCGCAGGTTTCATTATTTGCTTTAGAAGAGGCTTTAGAAGGACGAACTAGACAAATTCCGTATGACGCTATTCTCGCTTTAGACGTTGTAATGAGGCATTTACCATCTATGACATACACTCCAGTAGGTAGATCGTTCTTTAGTACTCCGGATGGATACTATCATCCATTAGGCGGGGGCAGAGAGGTATGGTTCGGATTCCATCAGTCGGTGAGACCGTCACAATGGAAGATGATGTTAAATATCGATGGTAAGTGGAGGAAGAAATTTTTTACTTGTATTTATATCTTGCTATCTTGTCATTCACCTATCTGTTTTGTGTGTATCCAGTTTCTGCCACTGCCTTCTACAAAGCACAGCCGGTCATAGAGTTTATGTGCGAAGTGTTAGATATCCGAGATATCAACGAGCAAAGGAAACCACTGACGGATTCTCAAAGAGTAAAATTTACCAAAGAAATAAAGGGTCTCAAAATCGAGATAACTCACTGTGGAGCGATGAAGCGAAAGTACAGAGTGTGCAATGTTACACGTAAGCCAGCCCAAATGCAATCGTAAGTATATCTCGAAAACGACAAATATATATCTCATTGGGTGTTAAAACGCAACCGGAAGTGCTCACACGCCTCGCCTGGATCGATTACAGATTTCCACTGCAACTGGAAAACGGGCAGACAGTCGAGTGTACGGTTGCCAAATACTTCTTAGACAAATACAAAATGAAGTTGCGCTTCCCACATCTTCCCTGCTTGCAAGTTGGCCAAGAACACAAACACACGTATCTGCCGCTCGAGGTACGCCGTGTGAAACTTTATTCTCAAGTCTCACGAGGCCAATTATCAGCTAATAGATTATATTGGATACTTAGATATGAAAAATGATGCAATGCTCTTTTTGCCGTTTTGAAGGTTTGCAATATCGTTGCGGGACAACGCTGCATTAAGAAATTGACCGACATGCAGACCTCGACTATGATCAAGGCAACGGCACGTTCTGCGCCGGATCGTGAACGGGAGATTAACAATCTAGTTAGAAGGGCTGATTTTAACAATGACTCTTACGTACAAGAATTTGGGCTGACTATATCGAATAATATGATGGAAGTCAGGGGTCGTGTTCTACCTCCGCCCAAACTGCAGTACGGAGGGCGCGTAAGTTCCCTCAGTGGACAGGTGAGAAACTTCCAACTGAATCAGTCTAGCCAAATCACACATTTGCAGAGGCTGATCATTTTATTGATTTTAGTAGACATCAGTTTGTGTCGTAGCGTTGGTGACCAGTTTCCTTGACAGATTGTTTATTTTTTTATATCCTCTTTCTTTCTAATTTGCAAATTCATGCTATTTATTAGCTGATAAAGAATATACTTGATGTTTTCGTGCCATCATTACCAATTTCTTTGTGTCTAACTCTTCCTCGCGGGAAATGTGATAGAGCATAGCAAAAATCTACTTCTCATCAAACTCCTGTTAACAGTAATATAATTTCATTGCGTTTAGTTCTTTAGCGTGTACCTTTGTTTGTAGAGTTTGTGTTTTTATGTACTTTGTGATTCTTATTGCTGTAGTTTTCCCTAACGTTGGCTTAACACTTTGCCGGCCGCTTACTTCTCACATCGCCTTTACGCTGCCGCCGGCGAATTTCGCGCGGGTTCTACTGCTCGTCGACGGTGATATTAAAGAATGTCAAGAAAAGACAATCGGGATAGTTAAAACAGTAGCATAGTGGAAACATTGTTGCCGCACTGAACCAAAGTCACGCGTACATGACAGCGGCCGATAACCGTCGGCGAGCAAAAGTCACGCGTACGTGACAGCGGCCGGCAAAGTGTTAAAATCTGGGAAGTTTAGAAGATCAATTTTTTTAATAGAAAAGAGTTGATAAATTTCCTTTTTTTCACTGAATCCTTGTGCAATAGCGTTGTATAACTTATATTTTATGGTGGCATTGTCGTCGATATATGTAATTTAGTAACGAAATTATACCTTTACACACGTGGCCACAAGTTGTCAAATGAATGCATGGGTTCCAGACCTGGTTGTTTTGATATCTGGGCTGTTAGTGTACGAGTATCCATCTTGTTACTGTGACGTACAAACACGTTTGTTGTTGTGAGATAAATTATAGGCGATATATTTGAAGAATATAGTTATTCTGGGATATTAGCAGTAGAACAAAGTTATAGTTACGATTTACAAATGTAACTAATGTTACATTTGCAGTCCGATATCATCTGCGAAAGTTCGATGCTATCAGTACATGTTCCGTACAGCGTAGTAATGATTCTCGATTATCTCTATAAATTATTCTCACTGTTTAAACTCAATTATGTTTTTGTTCGTCACCTATTCAGTGAATTGCATGCTGTTTTGAATGCTGTTTTAAATAAAAAGAAGAAACCCCAAAAAGATATGTTTACGCGTGGAAACACTGATGCATCCACTGCGACAACTGTGCATCGCTCGAACAATTTCGTATGAATACTCAATAATGTGTATCTCTTTCTCTAAAGACGAAGCAGCAAGCGATGCCTAATCAAGGCGTGTGGGATATGCGCGGCAAGCAATTCTTCACCGGAGTGGAGATTAGAGTGTGGGCGATCGCTTGCTTTGCACCGCAGAGAACGGTGCGCGAAGACGCGCTACGCTCTTTCACAACGCAACTTCAAAAAATCAGTAATGATGCCGGCATGCCCATCATCGGGCAGCCATGCTTTTGTAAATATGCCACCGGACCAGATCAAGTTGAACCCATGTTCAGATACCTGAAATCAACTTTCCAAGCGTTGCAGCTAGTTTGCGTTGTACTACCAGGCAAAACTCCTGTATATGGTAATTATACAAACTACACGAATATGCGAATATACATGTGTGTCTTTCATTTGTGAAATGTTGAATAGAATAACATTATCTCATCTCATTAGAAAACTTTCCAAGAAGATCATACTTTTTTTTTTTTTTTTTTAATTAGTTACAATTCAAGGCTTTCTAATAGAGAAGAAAGTGGCTCGATAGATTTAAATAAAATCAAATGCGTAATCACTCGAATTGGTAGAAATGGACAAACTTTTCTTTCAGCCGAAGTGAAAAGAGTAGGAGATACATTGTTGGGTATGGCAACTCAATGTGTGCAGGCGAAAAATGTCAACAAGACCTCACCGCAGACGTTATCCAATCTTTGTCTCAAGATAAATGTCAAATTAGGAGGCATCAATAGTATCTTAGTACCTAGCATAAGACCGAAAGTGTTTAATGAACCAGTTATATTTCTTGGAGCTGATGTAACTCACCCTCCGGCGGGCGACAACAAAAAACCCAGCATAGCTGCTGTAGTAGGTAGTATGGACGCTCATCCATCTCGATATGCGGCAACTGTTAGAGTTCAACAGCATAGGCAAGAGATTATCCAGGAACTCAGTTCGATGGTTAGGTAAGCTGCGTTTTTCAAATTATGTAGCAACTTCTAAAATATTGTGAACAAGACATTTGATGAGTTTTTGTAACAGAGTGTTAAATGTCCAAAAGATCAGTCAGGTCAATCGTAACATGAGTAAATGTGATTTTTATATTATCATCATTGTCTTATTTTATCTGGTATTTACTGTTACTTTGTTCACTTTTATTTTTTGCTCTCAAACTGACGACAATTTTTCCTTTTTTCTTTAAGGGAATTGCTTGTAATGTTCTACAAGAGTACAGGTGGATACAAGCCACATAGGATAATTTTATATCGCGACGGTGTCTCCGAGGGTCAATTCCTCCATGTGCTACAACACGAATTAACTGCCATTCGTGAAGCATGCATCAAACTCGAGGCTGACTACAGACCTGGTATAACATTCATCGTGGTGCAGAAGAGGCATCACACGCGTCTGTTCTGCGCGGATAAGAAAGAACAAAGCGGCAAGAGTGGTAACATCCCGGCGGGCACGACCGTCGACGTGTGTATAACTCACCCGACGGAATTTGACTTTTATCTCTGCAGTCATCAGGGTATCCAGGTGAGAATTTGTCACCGTATCTTCGATGATGCGCTTGAAGAAGTGCATGCTAATTCGCTAGAAAGCTTACTCACATCTATCGTCTTACAGGGCACATCGAGGCCGTCGCATTATCATGTTCTTTGGGACGATAATCATTTCGAGAGTGACGAGTTGCAGTGTCTCACGTATCAACTGTGTCACACTTATGTCAGATGCACAAGATCCGTCAGTATACCAGCGCCGGCGTATTACGCTCATCTCGTAGCATTCCGGGCCAGGTATCACTTGGTCGAGAAGGAGCACGACAGGTGAGTTATCGCGTTGTCATTATTTCTGTAACATTAACTAATTGTGCGATATCGTCGCGGGGGAATGTCTAATTATAATTCTAAGCGAATTGTGCGAAGAGAACGCAAGCAAACCAATTACATTCAGAGAATGAATAAGTACATAAAACCGTGCGCTTCGCTTATTGCTTACGTTTCGCTGTCGATATTCTTGTCTCATCTAACATCTTTGCAATTTCTTACAGTGGAGAAGGATCTCATCAGTCGGGCTGCAGCGAGGACAGGACGCCCGGTGCGATGGCACGAGCTATTACTGTTCACGCAGATACAAAACGAGTTATGTATTTTGCATAATTCCGTTTTCTTTACGTCGAGTCAAGTCGAGCTACCTTTTTAAAGGTATTGTTGGTTTTCGACGCGAGGGAAACACCTCAACGCACCGAAACGGTGTCTCTCAGTGACAAATTCGCCGGGAAACTTCATCAGGCAGCGCGGATCCAGCGGTAACCGCGTGCGCGCGCGACCGTAGCGCGTCGCATCACAAATTCTTTAGACTACTTATTAACGATTAGGGAAATTTTCTCGAGCAGTCAGTTTTCCTTTAGACTTTTCTGTCTCTTATTTTATCTTTTCTTTTTCTTTTTTTTTTTTCTTCCGTTTTAATCTGCAAGGAGTCCGCGCGATAGTCTATCGGATCAGATTACGTGCACACGCATTCGTTTTATTCGCATATATAGGTGTAATGGCGAGTTTTCGATGAACCTTCTGAACATTGTACAGATCGAGTTTTTACGAGAGGTGCTTTTAAGTTGATCGTGTTTTTTTTTTCTTTTTTTTTTTAAGATTAGATTAAGGACGTTTTGCAGCTTGACCGGTGGGGAGTCGTCAGTCTTGTAGTCGAACTAATGCAGAAAGTACTAATAGACTTTAATTATATTCGACTAAAAGACACACAATGTGGAAATCAGCTGCAATGCGCATATTATTACGCTTATCTTTTCCTTTTGTTTTCTAAGGGAATGAATTTCGCCTGGCATTTGTGCACAAATGCAGAGAAGAACGAGTGAAGTTTTTACACGAAGTCATCATATATGAAGTCACGATTATATATATGAATCGCTATCTGCGAGGCTGTTATATCTTGTTGCATGTGTATAGTTATCGTTTCTCGTGTCGAACGAGATGATTTACATTCTGTAAGTTTTAGATCTCTAATTATGCTGTATAGATTGGTATAAAACAATCGTCGTATATGAAAATACTTCTGACTGTGTACTATGTCGAGATAGTACTTGTGGTGTGTGTACATGACTAGATTTACTGCTAAAACCTTTACATCGTCTATATGTAAATTCATCGATAGAATTTATCGATAGAGAGGGTCGACCACGTCAAGCTGCAAATTGTCGACGAGTAGGACACGAATGAGACTAAGTGGATTGTAAACCCTACTAAATGCCAAGAAATCTAAGCCAATGGCCAAAGTAAGTTAGGGATCTGTTAGAGTAAATCGACGTCAAATCAAGCAGTACATTAACTGTGAATAACATTGAATAACAGTTAAGCGTTAACGTGATGCCTTCTAGAAAACTTGAATCACGTCGTGCCACACTGCTCTGCTACACTATAATACCGTTATCTTTTATACAACGCACTTTTAATCAGTCTAAATCTAATGTCATCTTGAGATAATTCCAAAGTTAAATCCTGTGCTAAAACTAATGGAACAACACCAATTCGTGTGTACGCTTGGAAGTAAGCAGCTCATAGTGCTTAAGAATGGACATAATCTTTGTACGGAAAGATAGAGACACGTATATTAGTAAATGTAAAAAATTGAAAAGTGTTATATATATAGAAAGAGAGAGAGAGAGAGAGAGAGAGAGAGAGAGAGAGAGAGAGAGAGAGAGAGAGAGAGAGAGAGAGAGAGAGAGAGAGAGAGAGAGAGAGAGAGAGAGAAGTCGGTGGTCGCTATCTGTGAATTATAATTCCATAGTGTTAAACTGTGGTCCGAATGTTGAGGTTTTAATGCGAGAATTGAGCGACACTTTCATGTCATTTTTTAATATAATTTAATACACTACCGCACTTTGCCTCTCCTTCGCCACTTGTATTCCCCTTGTACGGAGTCGTTAGGGTGTACATTTTATTCAATTCATTTTAGTTTCTTATTACGTGTTATCGTACTGTACGTTACACGCCGCTCTTCATCTACGCTTACGTCGACTATCAATGACGCTCATCAGAATTAGCATAGCACCTTATCTGTGTTAAAATATGTATTAAACACGCGAGAGTATCGAGGATGAAAGTAAAACGAAGAGGTTGTCCGTGTTTAGTCTTTAAAACGGTTAAAGCGTTGTCTGTTTAGACGGCAGATAGCCGTGAGAATATAAATCATGGCATTGATTATTTATATGGCATTAGATCTGGGCTGATGACAAGAACCCTTAATGCAAATAACCTCAAAAGAATGCAATGAACATAATACAAAGATACATAATGGACAGAACCTCTCTCGAGGCAGATAGACAAACAATACAGATAAAGGAAGGATAGACAAATAGGATCTACAGCCAATAATTAAATACTGGTGACGTATGATAATAGAAGTATAACATAGGATAAGCTGTGTTTTATTCGACGCATACGACGGAAAATCTTAAAGTTCTCGTATTTTTACTCTATATAACGGCGTCGCGTGATCCTAATAATCGTCCTAATCCTCCTAATAATCCTTTGGCACAATAATCATCACAGAATATGCGTTTTACTACGAGCCTTGCAAGCAGATTGAGATATAGCAGCGTAATTAGATTATCTAGATAGGACGTAGTATATAATTATTGTCGGTATTAATTATCGATCGTGACGTGAGAACCGATTGTCAGCTAATTATTATTATTATTATTATTATTATTATTATTATATTATTAGAATCATTAATATACCAAGATTCTCTCCTCTTGCATGATTCACGCGAGCGAGTTCAGGTGGAATAATTTTTTTTTATTGCTAATTAATCATGATTTTAACGATTTGTGTAGATCAGTATTACGTAAATAATGACTTGCCGGAAGAGGGTGAGAACTCTCCCGGGTTACCATTTTGCTGAATCACCAACGATTATTCAAGAGCACGCGCGAGAAGTTCACGAAAATAGTTATTCTCGATTGTATTAATGATTCTAATGTGTTAGGTTTACAAGTGATATACAGTGTTAATATTATCTTGGAAAGTACGAAGAGGATCTTAAGCTACTATTAATATATTTATTCTAGTGGTATAAATTTAAGTTCGTATTCTCCCTACGGACTTAACTATTTGGCTAAATAAGTCGTCACCTTGAGAAAGCAAATCCGATGTTCATCAATGCGTCCTAAATTAGATAAGTAGATAAGATGTTGGACTCTCTCGGCATTAGCATAATCAAGCAAGCATCCACGCTATAATAACTTGGCGATTTGTAATCCGCATAAAGAAACATAAGAGTGTACAACAGTATAGCCGTAAGGAGAATTGAATTGACAGATTGAAACAAGAGTGCAACAATATGCCCATTAGGAGGAATAATGAACGATACAACGTGTCTAGCGAAACGGGAGAGAAAAAAGAACATAGGAAAGAATACATATATAGCGCAATACGCGAAGTCGATGGAATGTAGAATGAGAAAGAAGACAAAAGAGAAAAGAAAAGAAAGATTATTATTTGCGTTGTTGAAGATGTACAGTTACACGTACCAAATGTCCTAGAGAACGCGACGGCAAGATATACATATTAGTAAATTATGAATCACTCTGAATTGTAACGAGGCCATACAGATCTATAAAAATAATATTCGTATATATATATACATACATACATACGTACATACATACATATATAAAGATGCATATATATATATGTGTGTATATGTGTGCGTGTGTATATACACATACGCACTATAAAGCATGTAAAACGTGATGGATATTTGTAAAAATATAGATGATGGACAAAAAACAGATAATCGTATTTTATGGACGTATTTATATAGAGTGTAATATATATGTCTCTTTTCTTAAATAAATTTTTCTTGTTAGTCTGCGTGTAAAAGTACGAAGATAAAGTAAATACTTTGTGAGATACTTCATATATCGAGATATTCTGACATAAAAAACGAAATATCTTTTAAAGTATCCGCTTTCTATTGACTTTATTTTCATATTTTTACAGTCGAAAAATGAAAAGAATTGACTAATGTGCCTACTTGTTGAATGCATGTGACAGTTGCAGTGCGCAACTGCATTATCTTTTTTTTTAACCAAACTGTGTTTTTCTCTACATCGGCCGATAATCCTCGATATTTTGAATGTCTGTCGTCAATATTTCTGGAAATGCTCGCCCGCTGCGTTCTACATACTTTATCTTGCGTATTAGGTTTTACGTACTTTATCCTGCGTATTAGATTTTAAGGCAAATCGTGGTTTAATAAGTAGCTGCGATAATATATGATTGGCGGGGAAATGAATACCAAAATAAGACGAGAAATTACGTATTCTGCCTACCTCGTTTTGAGATTAAGAAAATAAAGGCGTATTGTACTATGCAAGGCTATTTTCAAGTGTTGCATTTTTCTCTTGGTCGTGGATTGTTCAATATGACTGTAGGATTGTGACTTTTCTTTCTTCTTTTCCATAAATATTTTATCAAATCCTCGACCATCACAACTTTACATTGATTATATTTCTGAGAAAACTATAATTTCGAGTCTTTTTTCTTATCAAATATTCGTTCTGAAGATACCAACAAGTCGTAGATTTGTCGAAGAATCTACAATCAAGAGAAACCGCGCGTTTTCAATTATGTGTACGTTCAAATTTTTTTTAGACATCTTTTAGTTTTACGAGATCACACAATAAATACGACAGGATTCACATAACGGTAATTAATATATGAAGTCTGTTAAAAATTATATCTATTAAAATCATACGTTTTAGATATTGCGTATTTATATTCGGCGCGCTCGTTTAAAGTGGAGGAGCGGTTGCGACGTGAAAAGAGAATAGGCGGATTTTGTCAGACGATGACATTATGGGCAGTTTTACTATAGATAATATTGTACAAAAAAGCGGATTATATCAGAATCTAAAAAACCTGAAACCATGAAATATTAAATTCTTACCACGTGTTGTATAACATTTTAATCTAAGAAAAATCATTTATATTTATATACCTGTATAAATATATATTCACATTCGCGTACACACGTATATCCACACATACATACACATACGTACATTTTCAAATTAAGATATCTAGTTTGAAAGAAGAGTTACATCTTCGCTAATGCGAACCTATGCGAACTATAGGCACGATTAACAATACCCTTTCAACAATAACCTACATCAACGCCCATACTTTAAAGAACTTTACGAATTATAGATATATATAAATATATAAACATATATATATATATATATGTATGTATGTATGTATGTATGTATGTATGTATATGTATACAAGCATTGTATTAGCTATTACTGACAGTAAGTTATTTGATTCCGAAAGGACGTGTGTGTATGTCTACTTTCGAGATCGTCGTACAATCATAAGCAACACAAATAGCAATCGAACAAAATCATGGGTTTTTGGTCCGATTGTTGTTATTAATATTACCAATTCCACACACAGTGTTATTTTTGCAATCGTGCCCATTATATTATTTTTTTGTTATTAATATAAATTTGTGAAATTATATCTTTGTTTTCTCTTTACGCAAAGTACATGCATGTTGAGCTTTTGCTAAATCGATGGAAAAGAGGGGAAAACGAGTAGATTATTAAGAATGTTGCTAAATTGAAAAATATTGCAGCCGTATTAGGTCGACTAACTCTGAGAATTGAGAAAGACAAAAGTGGAGAGTTTTAGTTTTTATTAGCGAGTCGACATATACATCAAATACCGATTCTGCGATGTAATTTGTGAAGATAATTAAACGAGTTTTAGAGAGTTACGAGTTACATCAAGTAAGCACATAAAAATTTATCGAGTAAATCTCTTTAATAAGTATTTTCGCATTATTTCGTTTACATTTGGACACGCATAATGAGTGAACGAATATACGAATCGAAAGTGGAAAATACCAAAGTCCTTTCGAATTTGCACGATGCTCGGTGCTGTTTATCGACATACAACAGTGGACACAAACATTAAGGGTATAGCTTCTCGAAAAGGTCGAAAAATAATATTATTGTAAGTTTGCTATCGCTTAAGCCGCGTGCGACACGTTACGCTCGCGATAGATTTCGAAAGATCAGCTTTAAGAGTGCCAGCGTCGAACTGATGAGCGATCAATAATAGCATCCCAATAGCTAATGTGACACACAAATTGCGAGGTTTAACATTAAAACAGTAGTGAATACGGTATCACCATATGCAGGCAAATATTTGAATATTTATGGAAATGATGAATGCAAAGTATCAGATGTACAGAATACTGCTTTATTTAGTATTAAACGTAGCCTTTAAGAGAGACCTGTAGGATAATGCTGCCGCGTCCATTTCATTTTTTCACAGCGTGCATATGAATTATATCATGCTGTACCGACCAATGAGTTAGTTTCACGGGTGACGAGCCTGTTTTGAGGTAACGCGAGATGATTTGTTCGTTTCAACGGTAACGATGTTAACGGTAGTGAAAATCGGTAACGACCGCAATAGTGATCCAGTAACGTAATCCAATTAATAGTAATTAGTGATGTACAAGTAACGCTTTATAGGCTTAAGTCGACTGGAATTTAATTGGCGAAATTAGAGGAATGGTCGTTGTCATTGTTGTCAGCCGAGTTTTGATCCAGCTGAGAAATCGCGCGCGCTTTCCCTCTTATCTCTCTTGCCTATGGCGTGTTA